CTAAGTAATTTTCAATCGCAAAAAGTTTTTCTCTAAATTCACCGCAAATTCCCATAAACTCATCAATACATTCTTTATAATAATAATCCTTCAGGTATTCATTTTCTTTTTGAAGTATTTGTAACTGTTCGTGTAAGTCTTTTAATTGCAACTTAAACTTATTTTTTTTTTGGTTGAGCTTTTCCATATACGCTTGAGAAAGCAAGTCTTTCTGCCTTTCAAATAATTTACCAATTAATTTACATGAAGTAACACCAGCGAGTTCTTGCTTAATACAAAGTGTATCAGGGATTTGTTTTGAGATTTCAGGGCAGTTTATGAGTTGACACAAGCAACCATTTATCTCGCAGTTTTCTATTCGACTCATTGCTGACTCGACAATAATATCAGATATAGTATTTTGGAGGTATTTTTTTTCTGTACATAACAGTTCAGTTTTTTTCAGCTCTTTCTCTATTTTATTGTTAAGGTGCTTGAATGCCACTTTTTCAAATTGCATTTTCTCATCTTGTAACATGTTTTGCATAACCTCTCTTTCTTTTAAAATTTGCAGTTCGTAGTATCTTTTTTGACGCCGTATTTCGGACAAAAGTTTTAAAACTTCTTTACGACAGTTTTTGTGTAACTCTGTATCTTGTATTTCTTTCGCGCTCATGCTATTTGCGTTGGCATTATTCATCTTATCTTTCTCACCGCCGTCATTGTCACCGCCATCTTCGACATCACTACGCTTTAGTATTGGTTCATCATTTCCAACAAACTCATTTACAGGGTTTTTAATGTTATTTTGCAGTTTAAGCAATTTTTCTAGTTCCTCAACTTGATTTTTTAAAGTAAGATTTTCTTCATTTTTTGCACTCAGACAATTTTCTTGTTTAACTGAGTTTGTTTCGTATTCTTCTATCAGTTTTCTGAGGTATTGTATTCGTCTTTCGTAATTGTTAACAATCACTTTAACATCATTTTCAAAATTTTCATTAGTTTCCTTATGTTGTCTTTCTAAATCAATAGTAAGTTTTTTTTTTTCTCCTTTGAACGTGACTAGTTTAGACTGTTTCGTTCTGAATTTACTAAAACAATAGCCGTCACTGAGCGACATCTTTCCAGTCTTAATGCTGAAAAAAAAAATTGTTGAAATATAAATTTTTATTGAAGTTATATGAGTATATTTATTGAATGTAAATTTAAAAATATATATTTAATTTCTATTATATGAAAATTAAATATAGCTTGAAATTAAAAAAATGATTTTAATTCCATTTAGCTGTTATGCTTGCTGTTATACATGTTGCTTTTATAACAAACAGCATGTATAAAATCCCCCCTCAAACACAAACCGTTAAATCAAGAATAAAAAAGTAAAATCCAAACTTGATACTTAAAAATCTTACAAGTTTAATCATCTAACTTTATGTAAGCAAGCATACATACAGTATTTACCTAATTATTATTAATAATATTATATTAATATACCAACACTTTTATCTTTTTTTCATTAGAAATCTTACTTTACATTTATAAATAAGTATGTAGCAATAAAATAAGCTTTACCTAGTCAATTTTCTATAAGCATCTGACATTATGGACCAAATTCACGTTGGTTTTTATTTAGCTATTATTTTCTTATTTTCTTTTATCAAAAAATATTTTTCGATTTAAATCTTTAAACCTTTTCATTTTTGTAAAAACAAAAGAATTTTTTTCTCTTCTATTTTCTCAAAAAGTTCGTTAATAAATCTACAACAGTCATAAAATAAAATAAAAAACTCAAAAGTTTTTTTTGATTAGTGCCAAAATAAGATTTTGTTAGAAATCAATCAGTAAAAAAAACGATTGCATTTTTTAAATAAACTCCAGGTATATTATAGTATTCAGGGGGATCATTCAGGTCGCGTGAATTATTTATTAACAAATATTGAAAACTCTCTTATTTTTTCTATTCAAAAAATCTATTAATTAGTGTTTATGTTTTTGGGTTAATATTTAATTTATTTAGTAATGAGTTGAAAATAAAATTTTTTAAAGTTATCAAGTTTAAAGGGTTTTTTACGAAGTGTTATAATATTAATTTATAATTGTTTTTAAAGAGTAAAAACAATGATCAATATTAGATTTTTTTAAAATAATACTTAATAATCATTTTTTTCAGAATTGTTTAGGATTTTTTGATCTTCTTTTTAAATAGTGTGCAACATTTTAAATTTGGCTTGTTTTTTTGACAGACATTGTTGCTGCAAAATTCTAAGTATCAATTGGGTATTCTGGAATATGGGATATTGGCTATGGGATAAAACACTTTATATTTATTATTTTATATTTTTATTTTTTTGTGAATACGGTCTAAAAAAGGTATTGATCAAACGTTAGCACAATTAACGTTTCATTATTTTTTTACATTTCCCTTACAAATATACAAAAGGCAAGATAAAAAAAATAAGTGCAATGAGGATTGAAAATAGTTAACAATTCGGTTTTTTAAACATTATTTAAGAATTATAATAATGAAACAATAAAACATGTGAGAAAATTTCTCATACACTGAAATGTTTTCATAAATGTCAAATGCTTGCAGTTTTTTTTTTTGTTTTTTTGTTTTACAGCTTCTCATCGCCAACGACACGGATTTCGAAGTGGAGGAGCACAATTGTCTATTTCTAAAAAAAGTCCTCTATACCTAGAGTTTTTTCTGAAAAAAAAAGGTCCTTTGGAAAAAAGTGGAGGGGCACGTGCCCCCGGCGGCGTCGGCCCTGTTCTCGCTTATTAAATATAATAAAGTTGTTATTATTATCATTTTCTCTAAAGTTTCTCGCTTATTAAATTTAGTTTTTATTAAACTTATTTTTTGTTTTTTTAAAGCTTCTTGCTTATTAAATTTTTTTATTATTATTCAGTGTAATTAGCTTAAGAGGTGCTACACCAAGCCCCTTAATGCTGACGATTATGAAGATACAGACGCTGGAGACAAAGCAGCAATTGTATCTGTAAAAGTCACTTTTTTTATGCAGTCTTTGAAAACGTTGACTGTTAATTGCTGCATGGAAAGCCCAATCCATGGGGCGACAACTCTATTTAAAATAAATTATTTCGCTTTTTATCATCTCTTACTAGCTGGCGTTCTAGTTCAAGTTTATGTCCTCTCAGGATATATTTGATTTTTCTATTTGAATGTTTTTGAGGGACAAAGAACTGCATGATTTTAAGTTGCTCTATGAGATTTTTTGCTGCGTTTTTTAAGAGTTATTTGGTTTAGCCGTTTGATTTGATCTTTATAGGACAAATGTTTAAGTGAGGATATTTTTTTTGTTGCTCAATGTTGGACTTGCTCAAGGATGGCGATGTCGGACATCAAGTGCAGCGACCAAGTTTGTACAGCAAACTTAAGTTGCGGGTAAATGTAAATGAGACACATTGTGCTCCATAACTGAAGGCAACTTCTGAGAAATGCATGAGCCAAATATTTGACCATTCCACAGCTTTATTGATATCAGCCTGGAGAGTTATGCTGTCTGACTCAGTCTCGAATATGCTTAGAGTTTTACTGTCGTTGGCATACAGTTTTATATGCTGAGTGATGCTGTTCGGCAGATCATTAATGAAAATCAAAAAGAGTGATGGGCGTATACAAATTAAATTTTGTTTGTTTATGTTATGATCAGGGCTGTGGAGTCAGAGTCGGAGTCGGAGTTGCGAAGTTGCGACATTTTTAGTGGAGTCGGAGTCGCTAAACAAAATTGCGACTCCGACTCCTATAATAAAACTTCTCGGTATTGCACGTGCATGTATAAAACATTCAATTAACCTTATATTTATACTAAACCTCAAAGAATGTTTCATAAATTTGTCAAAAAACTTTTTTTTAACTTGTCGCATAATATTTTTTAAAGAATTCAAAGAATTTTTCAAATATTTTGCTTTGAAGTTGGAGTTGGAGTCGGAGTTGTACTCAAAAAATTTCAACAACTGGTGTCGGAGTCGGAGTCGTTCCTTTTTTTTAACGACTCCACACCCCTGGTTATGATATTAATTTATAAATATAATAAGCCATGAAAATATTATGAAACAACTTGAATTAACAATAAAAAAGCATTATAATGATTGTAATAATATTATATGTTTATTATTGTTTTATTTTAAGATAAAAATTATATTTAGTACAGTAAATAAACTCGTTAGCTAGTATATCAAACATACCTGCATCTACTTTCATTATAATTTGCCTACTGAAAATATTTTTGATTATCTGAAGTCAAATCTACATGTAAATTGATACAAATTATATGCAAATTGACAATGCAGGTATTTGTACCTCAAAATGTAGGTGATCTTTTGAAAAGCCATATAAACTTTTGTTACAATAGCTAAAAGCTAATCTTCAAAATATGAACATATATTATTGTCATTTAAATTCTCTTGGGATACTTGTTGCACTTATACACTTTAATGAATAGCTCCACAAAATAAGGCCTATTTTACCATGTGAATTTTAAAATGTAGGTTATTTTATGGCAATAACTTTGGAACAACCTTTTTATTTCTGTTGAAATTTTGTGTTATAATTTCTTAATTGTTTTATGTTAAATATAAGTAAATAGATTGTATAAATAACTTTCAGATTTTCAGCTGTATTTCATAATGTTGGTTTTTTGCACCTTAAAATGCAATAAGATTTTTTAAAGAACTAAAAAGTTATACTTATTATTCATAATGCTTTTTCATTTTGTTTTTACAGTTAAATTATATTAAAATGAGACCAAAGTTCAATCTTAGATTAAAACCTAAAACAAAATGTCAAGCAGCTTTTTACAGTGACGAAACAGAATTAAACGAAAACATTTTAACAAATATTGTGGATTATTGTAAAAAAATAGCTATTGAGGCTTAAAATCTATTAAACAAGGTGGTAGATCCTAGAACTATAAATCGTATTTTAGACGGTGCTAAAATTGGTGAAAATAAAAACCATCTTTCAATTTTGACCAAGGATGAAGAGAATGCAGTAGTATTGTATGCAAAAAATAAAAACAGAATTTTATTTATTTTCTGATTTTTTTATATTTTATCATTATTTTATTTACTGATCAGCGCAGCAGTTTTATGCCCACATACTTTAATACCTATATTCTACGGAAAGTGTTTATAGAGGCTCTATAAAAAACATTGCGATGATGTATTGTCATCGTCATCATCTTTGAGCCCCTGTCTGTTTAACTCTTCATTTTATAAAGATTATTTTAAAAAGAAAAGTGTATATTTTATACTTTATATACAAATACGGTACTTGTTGACAAGCTTTTCTGTCTTCTTTGTTCTAAGGACATATTTTACCTTCTTGTTCATATATTTGTTTGATTATTTATTGTTAAACAGCAAAAAAAAAAAAAGTTTTTTTTTTTTTTTTTTTTTTTTTTTTTGCTGTTTAACAATAAATAATCAAACAAATATATATACAAGAGTCAGCCTGTCTTAAACCAGCAACTGCGTACTTTTTTTTTGGTTTAAGACTGGCAAAAGATCGGTAAGATCCGCAAAATTGGCACAGTAATGCCAATCGTAAAACGATTTTGGACAGTCATTGGTACATGAACGGTTTCACCGGTGAGGTAGTGCCGATCACAATCCAATGGTAACCATGCATGGACCATGCATAAAGAGTTTGTTGGGCGATTACTAAAGGGATGACGTTATTGTAAGTTCTACCAAAGTCCTAATCAGATAATTTGATGAGTGTATCTTGCAGAATTGATAAAAAATGTTGCGGAAATCTTGCGTTTGAACCACGGCCAATTTTTTCACCTATGCCGTTGACACGCCTATAAAGAGTTTTTATTGGTATGCTGATTGATTGAGCTGCTTAACAGTACAAAAATGTCTAGATAAAAAGTTGTGACAAATTTTTTTAATTATTTTATGATTAACACTCATCAAAACTTGAACTAGAAACCAAAATTGTTTGCTCACACTGTGTAAGATAAGAACTTACAAAGAAAAGGTTTTATTATATGGGTGCAAAACTTTATTATGATTAACCATATAAAATTAAAACTGTTGAAAATTTTAATTATTTTAAAATCCTCATTGATAAACTCTATTTTATTATCTAGGATTTTTAATAGTAATAGTTTTTGATATTAATTTGTAACTCTCAGGACACGCCTTAGGGAACTATAAAATATGCAATGCTAAATTTCACTAGAAAACAAAACAGAGAAGAGCAAAATTTTTCCTTTGCAGAGTCTTAGTTTAAATAAAATATCAAAATAGCCAATTAATCTTAATGAAAATCACCGCGTAAAAGAGTTTAAGACCTCCTTCAGTTTTTTAAATACACGTAGTGTTGCGTAATTTATGGACGATCCATATTAGCAATTTTGAGTGGCCGTCGCGCAGTGGTTAGAGCGCTTACTTTAGAAGTAAGTTTCAATTTTTTTTTTTAATTCAAAACTTCATTTATAGTTGATTGCATACAGTAGTTTATAAAAAAAACTAATTTAAATCAACACAATAAACTGCATAGACAATACAAGCAAACACAAATAATGCCAAAAAATATCAGTAACAACTAGCATAGCAACGTACTTAAATAATATATCGAGCATAAAAAACTTAAAAAGAACAGAAAAACTTTGTAAATACCGTAAAATGAACAAACAAATTTATAAATTTGTAAAAATGACAAGATTAGTAATGATAAAAAATAAATTTAAGTTTTGCAAATTTTATATAATAAAACTTTTTTTCCCCATTTAAATGTAAAATATTATTTTTGAACACCTGGAGACTTTTTGAGCACATGGTTTTACTATAAAGAGAATTCCAGAGCTAGGTGGCTTTATATAAAACATTATTTATATTTTTATAATTTGAACTTTTGGACTCCCAGTAAGCACAGAACGTTTTTAAAACGTTTAAAAAACCTATTCAAACGGTTTTTAACGTTTTTTAAACGTTTTTAAAACGATCTGTGCTTACTGGGCTGTAGCATCAATTTATTGCACCATCGAAGTTGAAATGGTAAAGTTTTCTTTGTAAATAAGCCCTTCATAAATTCAGGGTTTAAACCATTAAAAGATTTAAAAACTTCAATCATTTGAAATCGCAAGTTTCAAAGATGGATTCTTAGGTTATTATCTAATTTTAACATTTCATCCAAAGTCAAACCAAATCTTTTATGGACTATGTGAAGTGCTTTTTTATGAGTTGTATTAATAAGGTTGTCATTGTATTTTGAGCAAAACATCCAAATCAAAGGACAATATAAAAAATTAGACCAAATATACGTGTTAAATAATAGATTAGGGATCGTCCATAAATTACGTAACGCAAAGTTTCACAAAAAACAAAACAAAAAAAAATTAAAAGTTTTCCCTCGCAGAGTCTTAATTTAAATAAATAATCAAAATAGGAAATTAAGTTAAATGAAAATCGCCGCGTAAAAGAGTCTATTATGTTCTCCTTTAAGAACTCCTGTTCTTAAAATATTTTTTTGCGTTGCGTAATTTATGGACGATCCCTTAGCTTGTTTAGGGATCGTCAATAAATTACGTAACGCAAACTTTCACAATAAAAACAAAACAAAAAAGATCAAAAGTTATCCTTCGCAGATTTTTAATTTAAATAAAAAATCAAAATAGCTCATTAAGTTTAATGAAAATCGCCACGTAAAAAAACTTAAAAAATCTCCATATTTTCTGTTGCGAAATTTATGTACGATCCCTTATAAGATAAAAAACTTCTTATTTGAAAAAGGGCAAAGCACTTACTATTAGCTTTATCGCATCGAGCTTTAATGTGATCACCAAACTTTAAATCCTTACCAATTGTAATCCCAACTTTATACGAAGCAAAAATCTTATTATCAACAACCATTTTAAATTGGCTGTTTGAATATTTTTGACTAACTATAAGAAATTGAAATTTTTGGGGGTTTACGATCACACAGTTGAGTTTAAACCATTCAATGGTATTTAGTGTTTCGTTTTGCAATTGAAGAATAACACTCTTTAAATTGTTATCACAAACATAGAGAGTATTATCGTCGGCACATTTGCAAATATCAGTGTTCGAAACGAGCTCTGGGCATATTTCACGTCATCGGTATTAAAGGAAGCGTGAACTTTCTAAATAAATGCTACAAGACCGTTAGGTCTTCTTGGGGCACCTAAAAGATTGTCCATAAATTACGCAATTAAACTTTAAACTGTTTAACGCGGCAATTTTCATTAAACTTAATGACCTATTCTTATTCTTATTTAACTTAAGGCACTGCGATTGAAAAATGTTGATCTTTTTTGTTTTGTTTTTAGCGTTGCGTAATATATGGACGATCCTTATAACAATACAAAAATTATTTTAAAATTGAACTGTTACATATATATTGGTGAAAAAATTATTTTTTAAATAAAAAATGATAAAAATGATTCTTATTTTTTAACTTTATTACTATTTTTATTATTGTTGTTGTTATAATTCATTTTATCGTTATTAAAATTATTATTATTTACGCATGATTTATTAATTAGATTTTCGTTTTTGCTAAACGTTCCTAAAATTCGAAAAACTTTTTGGCGTTAATTACTTTCGCACGCAACTTAGCCTGTAATGGATCATTTCCGACCAAAAAGCGACGCGTGGCTTGGTTTGTTATTATAAATCCGGGGGATAATGTTATTTGTTATAAGAAATGTTTGCCCCATACTATACATATTTTATTGTTAAATCATATATTTTTATTCAAAATATATTAGCATTATTTGAAAATAATTTAATGATTATGTAGTATTTGGATAGTTAGTTATATATTCAAGTTTTTAAATATATGTATTTTAAACACTATTAATCAACAAAAATTGTATTTTCGTTTAAAGTTAAAAATGGTAGCTGCGAGTTGTGATCTGGATAAAAACAACAACAATTACCATAGCCAATGAAACCTGAATAAGAAAAAAAAGATCAATCATATAAATCGATAATATTACTTAAAACATCATTAACAATTTAAGCTCTCAAAGAAGTATTAATTCTTAAATGAAGTATATTACCTGCAACAATAAGAAACGAATTTTTATCCAGATTTCATTAAATTGTGCATACCGTCCCATTAATTGTTGTGAAAATTTTGTTCAATTCTCAAAAATTACTTATAGTTGTAATGCTGAACCATGCATCATTCATCTTATATGAATAATGCTTTTCATCAAAACCATCAATATAAGCAAGGTATATTTATGTATTAAATTCCTTTATTTTATGTTTAAAAATTTATTTGTTATTCGAAGAAAAATATTAATACAAAAATAAAATATTAAAGTTGTTTTTTTTTTTTAAATTCCAAAACATATTTTTTTATAATTTGAGAATATGTCCATAATTTAAAAATTATTAGTTTATATTGATTAAGTGTATCAACTACTCAAATAAATATAGTCATAAAATATACTACACTATACTGTAACTTAATTATTTTTGAATATACAATGCCAATAAGTATATTGTTAGCATAATCTTCTGTTTAGTGTGACATAAATTTTTTAAATAATTAAATATTAGGTTATATACCATTGCAGAAGGCTTTACAGTATTAGGTTATATACCACTATGTTTTATAACATTGCAGAGGTCTAAACAGTTTTTTTTTTTTTTTTTCAATTATTTAAAATATTATCAAAACTAAGCGTTTCTAGAAAAGTTTAAGTTGATGAGGTTTTATATGACCAATTTTGGTTATTTTGCAGAATTGCGATGTAAAATAAATTTATCTTTGTGCATGCCTGTCTGTAGATAATTAAGAATAGAGAATTTTTATTGTCATTAATTATTTTATCATAATATTACATATTATATATATATATATATATATATATATATATATATATATATATATATATATATATATATATATATATATATATATATATATATATATATATATATATATATATATATACAGTTAAATATTATGTTTTTATTTTTTTTTTTTTAAATAAATACAATATTTAGTTATAGATTTCATTTTAATATTTTTCTTTATTATAATTATAGAATAAAGGTTGTTAAGTATTCTTGTGGTTATTAAAATAGCCATATATATTTCAGTTTAAACAATATATATGCAAAATGTAAAAAAAAAAATGCTGTTTATAAGGGAAAGTAAACTTATGAAGGTTTTCATCTTTACAGATCCCTTTACAGATATTTTCTTAAAAATATGTTTTGTACAACTTTAGAAATGAAAAGTATTTGATGTCAGACAAAAAACATATTTTTCATTCATTTTACTCTCTTATATATTTTTTTAAGGTTAAGCAAGCACCTTAAGATTTTTTTCATTAATTAGTTTAACTCTCAACCTCTTCCTAACCCTAAGTATATAAAAATTAGAAAACTTTATAGGGCTTCTTATACAGTATTTATGTCTTGATACCACTATTGATAATAAAAACTTGCCACTGGAATGTTCTTTTAAACAAACTTTTTTAAGGTAAAGATTCATAAGTGGAAGAACACATCCTAGTTGTATGAAACAAGTTTTTGTTTATGTTTTCTTAAAGAAATGATACTTAGGACTTTTATCTAGAAATTATATTACTCTTTTCTTCCTTTGCATATATTTTGTTTTAATTTTTGTGGTTGTTTTAGAATATTAAGTTTTTTTTTAGTATATTAAGTTTTTTTTTAAAGTTAACTAGGTCTGAAGTTGTTGCATTTTTCTACTGGAAAAGCTGACATTATTTAGTTCATCAAAAGATGTTATACAAAATATACAATGTGTTTTGTCTAAATAGTGTCAGTTTTTCCAGTACAAAAATGCAACAACTTTAGATCCAGTTAACTTTCAAGGTTGAGAGAGCTCTCATTTTTTAATCTTTTTAAATTCTAATTATTTTAATCATATATAATTACGTGGGCAATTTCTCTGAAACAGTTAACTTATAGGAAGAGGTCTGTCTCTAAACTAAAAAATAAATAAATAAATAGGCAACTACTTTATGACAAGTTATCATTTTAATTTTGAAGTATGTGCTATATTATATATTTAGGAATATGAAGGTTTTTTAGTTAATGACTGTTAGTTAATGACTTTTTAGTTAATGACTAAAATTTATAGTCTACATTCTTATATTAAATGTAAAGTTGTCAATATCTTAAACCAATCAGAAAATTTTTTTAAATTCGTTTTATTTTCACCCAAATTTTGGTTAAGCCAACAGTGTTTTTTAGTTTTCTAAAAATTGTGAAAAAATGGCATAAACAATTATGAAATGAATGTACAAAAAGTTGCTATATAATTTTATAACAGAACACCATCACAGGTACCGCTATTCTTATCAGGTACACCCAAATATAAAAAAATGTTTCTATTTTAAAAATATTTGTATCAGTATTTCTAAATGATAAATGAGTATAAAACAAATTTTACTATATTATAAGATATATTAGTGGTACATCCATAATTTTAGAGGAAAAGATATTTGCTCCTGTGTAATTTGAAATCAAATGTCAAATGGTAATTATAATTAATTTGTGATTAGTAACCAAAATACTTTGAATAACATCTTATAAAAAGTTTATTTTTTTATAATTGAATAAAAAAATTATTCTATAGATATAACTATTAGTTTTTTAAAATAATATTTTGAGAGAGTTGAGATCTCTCATTATCAAGAATAAATATACTTGATAGCGTTATCAAGTATATTTGATAACGAGGGTATTTAAACTCCCTTGATATATTGTATTCAAAAATTAGTAACAGCTATATCCATAGAAGAAGTTTATTACAAGTTTATTACAACTTGTAATAAACTTCTTAAATTAAAGTTTTCTTATTATAAATTAAAGCTCTATATAGTTAATAAAAATTTTTTCAATATTTTTTTTTAGATGCACCAGGTTCATCAACAAGTCTATTTTACACTGGGTTTGGTCGAAATTCTCCTCAAAATCCAAACAATTCATCAGATATTTTCAATAAATCTGTGCTGCCAGATCAACCAAGCTTGTTTATGTCATCTCCACCATCACAAATACCACCAACTCCACCACCACAAATACCACCAACTCCACCAACATCAAGTTACAATGCATCAAATATAGAACAAAATTCAGTAGTTAGTACTTTAAATTTTTATTAACATGTTATCAAAATGTAAGCACACAAATTTGAAACAAATATATGTGCACATTTACACTTTTATTTATACTGTTGGTATATATAAAAAGTTTTAAATGAACTTAAAAGTTTAATAAACATAAAGTTATTAGGCTTGTATTATATTTTATATAGTTATTTAATTTTAAATTTGTATAAAAAAACTTATTTTTAACTTTCAAAAATCAAAATTCAAGCTAAATTCTTTTAAAAACAACAATTTATAAATTTATTTATACTAAGTTATAAGATGTGCAGACAGATTGCTTTTAAAATTAACTATAACACATTTCCATTAAATGATCAAGTCTGTGAATTATGAAATGGAAAAAAAAATGATAAATTTTGTGGTATCATAAAATATAATTGTTTGTAGCAAAAAATTGATAGAAATATTGTATTTTGACAACTATATATAGTTAATATACCTCAGAACTGATTAGAACTAAAATCTATTGTGGGGTAAGGCCCTTTTTCAAAAGATTTAAACTAAATTCATGTTAACATTAATAAGCAAAAGTGATCTAAAGACTCCAAAATGGTGTTCTTTAGATTCACTATTAGGGATAGTAAAAAAGTTTTAAAAATTATGTTAAAAAAAAGTTTCTTTAAATATTAAAAAAACCTAAAGCAAAAAATATTATAACATCCAAAGCTTTGTAAATCACCTTAACTACACTGAGTATTGAACTCTAAAATTAGATTATATTTCGAAAGAATTTTTTTAGATGTAGAGATAATATACTAATTATGTTTCTTATAATATCTTGATTTTATTTATTTTATTAGTTTGTTTTATTTTATCATTAATTTATTGTTTATATTTATTTTTTTAAATCTATAGTTCTAAGTTTTATAAGACTTTATTTGCTTTTTAGTCAAATCCATATAGAACAAATAGAGGGCGCAGATCATACCATACAACAAATACATTGTTTAGTGGGAACTCTTCGAAAAGCTCGTCTAATTTTTTTGAAACATCTTCTTTGGCTTCATCTGCTTCTGTTAAAAGCAATCTACTGTCAGATAATGTTCAACCACATATTCCTTCAAATTACCAGCCTTTTTCAAGTTTGAGCTTTGTTTTTACTATTTTTATTTACTTGAATTATTTACTTTTTATATACTTTTAAAATAAAAAAATTTTGTTTTTAAATTGATTTTTCTTTGTATTTGACTTTTTGACTATGTTTTTATTTATTTATTTTTAAAATCTAAATTGAAAACTCAATATTTATCATCAGTTGATTAGTAAATTACTATAGCGGTATATAACCAATATTATATTGTAGTCTCTATCTTCAATTTTGAGTAGAATAGCACTAATTATGACAGTATTGCTACAAGTTAACAAAAGAAATAGCACTAAGTAGGACAGTAATACTGTAAGTTAACAAAAGAAATAGCACTAAGTATGACAGTAATACTACAAGTTAACAAATAAATAGCACTAATTATGAAAATTGTATATACTAGTCATTATGAGTAATACTCTGAGTGCTAATGTTTTATGTTTTTTTTTTTTTTATGTTAAACATTTTAGACTTTCCAATTGCATCAAATCAGTACACAGATCAATATAATACTTTAAATACTGTCTCTGAATCACAAACTTTAAATGAAAGTGATAGAAACTTAGGTGAGCTAATGAAGTGTTTTGAGAATGATAGCAAAGTTAGTACAAGCACAGTAAAGAAACCATTAACAAAAGAGGAGAGGAGAGAAGGTAAGGTTTAAATAGAAGTTAATTCTAGCAGTTATAAGATGTGTAAATAAGATGTTATGCATAAAAATGATGTAGTGGTAAAGTGCTTGCTGTATAAGCGAGAATTACAGAGTTCAACCACCACCATATCTCTGTAAAATAACCTATTTAACTATATTGGCTCTTTGGTCCTGGGGAAATAAATACAGTAAAAACTATTTACTATGAAATTTCTTATTTAATAATAACTTTGCAGTGAGAAGTTTTGTTTTATTTGTTTTCTACTAAAAGTAAATAAGCTACAAATAATCAAGTAAAAAATATAATTTTTTTGATTTATTTTTAGTTCGTGAACGTGCTCGAAAAGCTAGATTGAGAATCAAAAATCAAGATGATAGCACTAATAGTTTTGAAGGACTTATTAGTGAAATCTCGTCCCAAGGGACTTCTTTGTGTTCAGATGTTTCAGCAGACATCCAAGATGGAAAACTATTTACAAACTCATATAATACTAATGATTTTGTTGATTCAACTCAAAGAGTAAGTTTTTTACTTTCATATTTTCATAAAAGTTGTTTTTTTTTTTTTTTTTTGCTTGAAATTTGACTGCAATCAAGTAAACTAACTCAAAAAATATATTTTTTGAGTTTGTTTGCTTTTTTTTATTTATTTATAAAGTTTACTTACTACCATAATTTTAAGCTAAAAAAAGTTATATTTTTGTAATAATCAAAATTCAAATGTTTCGCTAAAAGTTTATTTAAAGAAAAATATTTGAATTTTGAATATTACATTTAGTGTAATATTCAAACTTCAACTTAGTTGAATATTACATTTTGAATATTGCACATTTAATGTTTTGTTTGCATTCATTAATCAGTGTTCAATTGCTTATTTATGATGAAGGTAGAATTACTTTTCTCATACTAGGTGTTTTTTTAATATTATTACTACTTTTATTTTAATCAAAATATTTAATAAGTTTTTACTGAAAATATCAAACCATAATAACATTAGGTTGATACATAACTATTGCATATTTTTTTTGTCAGTATTCATTCAGTATTAATAGCTGAAATTTAATGTAAATTTTAAAGTATGTCTTTTTAATAGTTTTCATGTAATGTTAATAAAATAAATTTCTTCATCAAGAAACTTTTTTAAAACATTAATTTTTATGTAAGCATCTATGTGGAGTTGATTATTTAATTTTGATCTTTTTTTTAAATCTTTGCCATAACTCTGTACAAATATATTTTTATGACAATGTCAATAATAGTTGTAAACAAGCAGTAACAAAAAATATCACACTAAGAATATTTTTTATGCATAAATTATTAACTGGTACTATTATTTTATTTAAAAAGACTTAAAGCAATCAGATGACAATGTTTATTTTATTACTTATAATGTCAATAGTTATGAAATTATAAGATTTTGTCTTATTCATAATTTTGTTATATTCACGATTTTGTTTTATTCGTTTTATAATGTTAATAGTTATTAAATTATGAGATTTTGCTTAATTCTCTCTTATTAAAAGTTAAGAGAATTTCTTTATTATTTTAAACCAATTTATAGGTAATAATATAAATATGATATTTTCTTAGGGAGAACTATCAGCAACATTAAGTAACCAAGATCATATACAAAACAATTATTATTATCATAATAATTTTTACAATTCTGAATCATATGGAAATACAAATTCTGATAACAAACTTCAGAGTGATAGTTACAACTATACTGAAGAACATTTGCCTAAAACAAACTTTTTATCCAACGCTTTTCCTCATTCAACTGACATAGCCGATCATAAATCTAGTAGTTTTACAGAGGCGCATCCTGAAACTCATGGCGATATCTCAGATATGACAAGTTCTTATAAAAACATTACTCCGTTACAAGACTTGTGGGCAAACTCACAACATGGTTATATAAAATCGCAACTTGATTTTATTAATGATAATCAGGACTTGTCTAAACATAATGATCAGCATTCTAGAACTTTTTATACTAATGAGTCAAGTGCTGATACTAATCTGCAAGCCTCTTACAATGAAAAACTGAATGTTACAACTGATCAAAAATCTTTATACAATGAACAATTTAATTTTCCAATTAATTCAAAAGCCTTTTACTTTAGTGAGTCTAATGCTTCAACTAATCCACAAGATTTTTACATTAATGAGTCTAATGTTCCAACCAATTCACAACCATTAGACAATTTTTATCAGAATGATTTTAATAGTAATGAAGTTGATCAGAATTGTGAAAGTAACAAAACTGAGTTAATTGATATCAATGAAGCAAATTTTGAAAGGAACAAAATTGAACTTTATGACAGTTTCAGGAATAATGAACCATATTCTAATTTCAGAGAACAATTTAGAAATGAAGAGGCATCACAAAACTTACAAGACAAATTTCCTTCTTTTACAGAATCAAGTCTTGTAATTAGACATAAAAGTGAAATACCAAGTGTATCAAGTAATGATTTAGTTGAAACTCATGAATGTCAAACACTTTCTTCATTAGAAAGTCATGATAAATTTTCTTCCAAACTTAACTTACAGACTTTTAATTATGACAATATAGTTGAAAATATAAATCAACTTAATGTATCTCCAGACATTATTTTATATGAAAGTGCTGAAACACCAGTTAATGACAATGCTAATGATTTTGCACCTAAAAATAAAGATCAAGTGGTCTATACTCCAAATGAACAAATGTTATCCGATGATGAAAAAACAACGTCAGGTGGCCATAGCTCTTATGATGTACTTTCTCAACTATCGTCAGGAAATACATCAAGAATAAGTCCATACCAATTAATTGATGCAATAAAATACCCTGCTCCATCTTCATTAAATTCTAATAATAGTTCTCCATTAGAGATGATCCAAAATGTTTCTATTGGATCTTCTCTGTATGAAAAGGTTAATGCTGCTTCTTCTGGTTCAATTAACACAAACAGTTTTGATTTAGGTGAGTTTACACCGGAAGTTGTTAATCCACATGTTGAAAAATTGAATACTTCAGAGGAAGAAAATAGTATAAATAAACAAAATTTGTTGAAAAAAAAAATGTTTGATATATTAAATAATGCAGAGCATGCTGGGCGACATCCTATAAGTGTACCATCTCCAGGTAGCTCTTTAAGCTATGCTAACTTTGTCTCAAATGTGCCTACTAATTTTGATGTTTCAATTTCAAACACATCTTCATCAATTGTTAATGGACCTCCTAAAAAACTGGTTGATCAAAGTAGTACTTTATTAGATAATAAAGTTGATCTATTAAAAAACTCTAGTAATTTCTCAGTTTTTGCAGAAGATACTTCTTTCAAAAATCAAATATTTACAAGCAACCTAAGCACTAGTAACTCAAATTTTTCAAAACAAAATGCAAGTGAAACAGTAAGTTATGTATTTTATTTTTTGTTATGATTAAATTATTTAATAACTTTCATACGATATTTAATAAATCTAATGGTAATTTATCCAATAATATCTATTTGAGATTTTATGCACACAAATGAGAATACTTTGAGATATTATATTTAAATAATATCTCAAGGTAATCTCATTTGGCAGGGTTAAAATTCTTTATACTATAAATTATGAAAGTTTTATAATTTACAGTATAAGTTATAATTTAGAGCATCTTTTAAACATTAATTTTTATGTAAGCATCCATGTGTGGTTGATTATTTAATTTTTATCATTTTAAAAATCCTGGTTGCCATTTAAATAAATATTAGAATGACATATGGTAGTAGGATGCCTTTTGAAGTAATCAGTGGAGATGCAATTTTATGGTGTTTAAATAAGCATTATATCTTAACTGTTTTGTTTTCAATGGAAATCAGCTATTTTTGAAATGGAAGTCACTGTTTTTGCTCCAACAGGACTTGATTGTTGTTGACCAATTATCTTTCAGTTTTGTCAATGTCTAGTTTATCTTTTAGCTTTGTTAACGTTTATCTTATCTTTCAGCTTTGCTAACGTCCGTCTTATCTTTCAGCTTTGATCATGATAATCTAAATATTTGGGTCAGCGTTAAGGTTTTGCAACCATCTTTAACAATAGCTAATTAATAATTGGTATTTTCTTTTCTTTTTTTAAGGGGGGGGGGGGGGGGCTGAAAGAGATTTGCATACCATCTAAAACATAAGCAATCTGGGCACTGAGTCAAAATACCACATAAGTAGCGAATGACATTAGAATGAGTAATGAATGATATTAGAATGTTAATCCTTACAATAAGCAGTTGTTGCATTTTACAGAGATGCAGAGTCCTAAAAAGGACTCCAGATTTTAAAGTAACAAAAGAGTTACTTATTTCTAGTTTTGGTATCCAGGAGCTTTAAAAATATAAAAAAGTTTATGGGGTACTGATGGGGAAAAAATCAAGACTTATAGGTCAGAAGAACAATCCATTTTTTGAACCCAAAGTCCTCAGGTATAATTGCGGCAAGAACTCCGGGACTCCAGAACCCCAGGCTTAAAAACAATAATTCCAAGTAATTAAATAACATAAATTTTTTTTTATAGCAGATCATTAATCAACCAACTTGTTTAGAGCTTCTGGACACCAGAGATCATAAAAAAATAAAGTTATAAAGTCGGAGTCCTTTTGGGACTTCGCATCCCTGGTATTTTATAATGATCTTAATTTATATGGTAGCTTATAAACATCTGCAATAGTGAGTATTTAATGAGAAAATAATATTAATAGTAGAAATGCATTTGAACAAATGACATTTATTTGAACAAATGACATTTTCAAATACCAAAATTCAAGAAAATATTTAAATATAAAGTATTCTTTTGTATTTTAAATTACTTTAAAATGTATTTTTGAAATTTTTCAATTTAATTTATTTTATTATATCTTCATAACACTTACAATTATCATTCTACTATCTCCTTTTTTTTTTTTTTTAATTAATCATGAAGCAAAAATATTGTATTTTTTTATCAACTGTGGGGTTATTTTGTCAGTTGTGGGAAAATCACCTCACAATATTTTACTTGGATAAAAATCTATTTAAAATAATTACCACAACCACAAATAAGATGTAATAACAACTTTATGAAAAACTAACCCTAACAGATATTCTTAAACAGTTTTAATCAATTATTCACAAAAAATAACGATATTACTGATATGGGTGATTTGATAATTTCAATTAACAACATTAAACAGCAAATCTTATTTAAAATTGAACCAATAATATTAAACAGCATCTATGATTAATTAATAGTTTTAATTTATAAATATTAAATGTTAAATAACCTCTTTTTTTTTTTTTTTTTTTTTGCAATATCAAAAATGTTGAAATCACCCTGGTCTACCCTGTAACATATGTTATTATAGTGTTCCACAATAGAAATAAGGCATTATGTAATGATATAAAATGATTTTATATTTTTTTAAATATAATATTTATTTCAAAGAGCAATAAACTGTTGTTTAATTTATTAATAAATATAAAATGTTATCTTTTTTTTTATATATCTTTTTTTTAATATAACATTTTTAAAATATATTTTAATCCAATGTTTATTAAAGTTCAAAAAAACTTTTTTTTATAAAAAATTGTAATAAACAAATTAATTATTTTTGTCTATTGATAATTTGTTTTTGTTTTTTTTCTTTTGGCTTTTTCCTTAAAGCAAAGTTCAAGTTTGGAAAATTCACATGATACTGCACTATTAAACAGTTCTGAAAAATTGTCTCAGAAAGCAACTAAACCAGAAAAATCTACTCAGTTTCATGAAAATTATTTTAATAGTAGGCAGATAGAGCTAGATAAATCAACTAGTAATCCAGCATATGAAAATAGCATTTATACTGATTATAAACCAAGTGAACAACCATTATACTATGAGTCAAAAGAACATTTATTGCATTATGAACCAAAAAGTTATCCATCACACAATGAGCCAAAAGATCACCATGAAACAAAAGTACAGGCATCACTTTATGAACCAAAAGAACATCCGTCACAGTATGAAGAATTTCAAGTAACTCAATCTGAGCAATGTCTAACAAGAGAGTTGTCTGTTGCACCTAATGTTGAAATATCAAAAATTCATAATCAACCTGGCTCACTAGAGTTGTCTAAAAGTCAAATCTTAAATACAGAAGTTGCTAGAAAAAAATTACATTACCCAGATCCAAATAGTCATTCAATCAATCAACCAGTTATTCAGCAGAGATCAACTTCGGAGCCTCAGTCTTCCATGAATCAAAATCAGGAGGAAAAATCAACTTTGCATACCAATCAGTCTATAAATGGCAAAACAAGTTCATTTCAGGTAAATAAAGATATTTTTTATTCACCTTTTGCGCAATTATCTAGTTCAAAACAAGAAACTATTTCAAAGAACTTGATACTAGTTCACCAGTCTACATCTAAGGAGGTTTCACAATTATGTCAAAACAGCTCCATTTCAAGTAATCAGGCTGTTGATGTTATTCCTGTAACTAATCAAACTGACGTATTAAAAACTCATGTACAACCTTCAAATAATTTTAATTCTCAATCATCATTACCTCAAAGTTCTTCAGTACAAGAAAGTTATCCTTCTCAACTACCATTACCTCAACCAAGTCTTACACAACAATACAATTATCCTTCTCAGTCACCATTACCTCAATCTAGTTATAAAGTACATGAAAATTATCCCTCTGTGCCTCAACCAACTTATACAGCACAAGAAAACTATACTTCTGTACAATCAAACTATACACCACAATACAATACTTCTCAGTATAGCCAACAAAATATAAAACAAAATCAAAACAATAGCACGGCAGAAAGGTCTGAGCACTTGAAAAATCTTACTGATATTCAATCGATAAGCCAGCAGAGCCTTAATCAAATCGAAAGGCCTCAAGTTCATCAAAGTAATGCTAGTCAGTTCAACCTTACACAAAATCAAATGTATCCATTTAACCCAAGCAATATTCAGGGTAATTTGAACAATGTTCAGGGCGTTCAAGATCAGCTGCATTTAAATAATAACTTTAACAATTATTCAACTCCTATTCCTTTAACAAAAGAAATTCCACCAACGATTGAGCAGACATCTTCTCATATAATTGGTCCGAATGTTGCTTATCCTAATCAGTTTAATCAATACCCAGTACAGCAGCCTATGGTTTATGCTCCAGAAAGTTTTCCACCATTTAATCATTACAATCTTTATGGTGGAATATACCCTAATGCATGGCCTCATGGTCTAGAACAAATTCATATGCAACAGCAGTATGAACAACAGTATATGGATTACTATCAGCAACAAGCAGCCTACTATAATTATTACAATCAACAGCTTACAGCACAGTTTCCCCCTCATCCTCATTATGATTATTCTCAAGCTTATGGTTGGCCAGGATATTATGATCAGTACTCATATACATCTAGTTCTGCAAGTTCTGTTTATGAAAGTAGACCTACTTCAGTGATAGAAAGACAAAGTTCAAAAAATTCAGACCAAGCATTAGATGAATTGCCAGACTTTTCAAGTGAATTGTCTTTTCAGCACCCAGAACCCAAAGGTATATTGCAGATTTTTCTTAAAAGCTATTTTGTTTTTTGTAATAATCTTTTCTATCGTGGTATGAAATTTTCTAAGACTAATCTTTTCTTCTTTTTTAATGACTTAAAGAACTTTTTTTTTCTTGAAAAACTCAATTTAAATATTGCAATTTTCTAAGAACAAACTATTTAATAAAATAAATGGCAATGTTATATATAAAAATACTATTTACAAGTTTTACAAGTAAAAAAGTGGCTTATTGTTTAGAAACGGAGATTAAAGTGAATAGATCAACACCATTAAGTTTTACTGGAGTTCACTTAAGAGCTCGTTTTAATCCCATTGATGGAAAGTTGTGTATTGTTGCACCCAAACAGCCTCTTGATGGCGAAATAGCCTATGTCCAAAACTATGCTCTTGAGGTAGTTTTTAAATGTTCTTGTTGTTAAGCAATGTTATAAAAAAAAAAAAAGTTTTATTGTAGGAAAAAAAAGTTGGTTTTTTATTTTCATTTTATATATATTTTTTTTAATCTAAAACATTGTCATTCATTTAACTTTTTCAGAGTATTGTTCCGATTCCAATTCATAAACGATTTCCAGGACCACTTTTACGGTATGTGTTTTTGGTAATTTGATTTTTAAATGGTCTATGGTTAGCATTTTTTTTTATCTATTAGACAAATAAATGAGTTTTATGATAAATTTTTTAGAAATTTCTATTTACTGTGATGTAGTTTTACTGTTGTAATGCTTTTAAATAAACATACAACAAATGTATAAATTTTGTTTTAGGAGTTTTTAGAAAATGTTATTTTTTATAATGTTTTTACAGCACTTTTGATAATATTTTGGTTTCCATAGTTTTACAAACTGCAAACATAAAAAAAGACTTGTAAAAATTAAATTTGTTTTGATAGAAGGATTTTTTAATTACATTTTGTACTTTAATTAAAATTTCAAACTAACTTTAATCATACGATTTACTGGCAGTTTCTTTTTTTGTTTTACTGTTGATATGTTTGCCAGAAAATAGAGAGTTTCTATTGCCATGTTAAAAAAAAATTATATTTTTTGTCTCACTAGGTTAATTTATATTCATCATTATTACCACCACCATCATCATCCTCCTCCTTCTCATTATTATTATTATATTATTATTATTATTATTATTATTATTATTATTATTATTATTATCATCGTCATCATCATCATTATAATCCTCATGTTTAACTGCTTCTCTTAAAGTCACTCTTTTCTCATTATCTCATATATTTCTAACCAAGTACCTTATCAAACCAATAATTTTTATAATGAATTTATTAACATTGTATTTTTAATAAATTAATTTGAATATATATATTTTTTTAATTAAACTTAATAATTTAAAAAAATGTATATTTACCCTTTTTTTTAGCGGCGACACAAATAAAAAGTATATACTTCGACTTGTGCTAAGTACTGTTCAAGAAGTTCTTCCAACTGTTTATGAAAATGAAAATGAATTAGTTGCCCAAACAGCACTATGGGAGTTTGTGGGTTTGCTTGTTAAACAAAATGGTGTAAGTAAATTAATAATAGTTTATTACGATTATTAGTTGCAGAAAATACAGGAGTAGTAGTACTACTATTACTACTACTCCTACTACTATTTATTACAACTACTTCAATGCTCCTTAATTAAAACTGTTTGCTTTTTTTAACTTAAGTAAAACGTAAAAAAAAATTATTTCTTTAAACTTTAAAATTCTTACATACTTGTCAATGTTATAGCATATAGATAGAGTTAAAGGTTACATTTGACATGTCCTACTTATTTTCAATTAAACTCTTAAATACAAAGTTTTTCATAAAAATAGACATAATCTATTGAAAATACAGTTTTGTTATAAGAATATCAAAATGGAAAAGAAAGAATTATTTTTATAGAATATATATTTATATATTACTTTAACATGTTATTTTTGATAAGTATTTATAGAATAATTATAACTATCAAAATATTATATAATTTTTTATTAAATTATAAGGGAGTTTTATTCTAGTTAATAAGATATATAATTGTTAGATATATTGAAGATGCTTATTGAATTCTATCAATTTTTTATTAATTCAAAACAATTTTCACGCATTTGCAAAGCACACACAAATTAATGATAACTAATATACAATATGACTGTAAATTGTTATCCATTAATACAAGTAGTAAATTTTTCTCAATTTAGTTTGTTAAATTTATTTACTTCAAAAAAAAACTATCAAAATATTTATAATATAATATAGTAGAAAAAAACATAGTTGAATATTGAATTATAAGTGTAAATAGTTAGATAAAAGTTTTTTTTTTTTAAGTTTTAATGCTTGATTGCAAAAATTTCTTAATTTAGTTCTACAACAATATTTTTTGTTAATCAATTTTAAAATGACTGTTATCAATAAGAGTTTAAAATAAAATCGAATAATACAGTTTTTTTTTATCAAATGTTTAAAAAAATATTTGATAAAAACTATTTTTAAGAATTAAAAATGCAAATATAAATTTTAATACTGGTCAAATATATATACTTTTTTCAGATTTATATCAGGGCGCGACAAATCGTTTTTTTTTTTTTAATAAATGTGATGTTCATTTCTTTATTTATTGACAAACGTCCAATTTTACAGGTATATCGAATAACAGAGCTGACAACGTGGAGGAAGAAGGAGGGGGGAGGAGGAAGGCAAGTGCCTACTACCCCCTCCCTCCCCCGCCATTTTTTTCTAAAGGTCCTTTTCTTTGTTGTTTTTTTAAAGAGAGCTTCTAGAGGACTTTTTTTATAAATAGATGGTTGTGTACTTCCACTTCAAAAACCAAGCTGTCGGCCATGAATAAGCCAGTTTTATTTTCAATTCTTTCAATTTTTTTTATTTTTTTTATTCAAATAATTTTTTATTAAATTATAAGGGAGTTTTATTCTAGTTAATAAGATATATAATTATTAGATATATTGAAGATGCTTATTGAATTTTATCAATTTTTTATTAATTCAAAACAATTTTCACGCATTTGCAAAGCACACACAAATTAATGATAACTAATATACAATATGACTGTAAATTGTTATCCATTAATACAAGTAGTAAATTTTTCTCAATTTAGTTTGTTAAATTTATTTACTTCAAAAAAAAACTTGAAGAAATTTAAATAAAAGGGAACTAAAAATAAAATAAAAGTTGCTTTGACATATCTTTTTTTAAACATTTAAAGATAATAATATGATAATAAGTATTTGATAAGTTATTATATTAAGTTATTATTAAATACTTAATATGATATTATATTTATAATATTAAGTACTTAATAATAAATTATCAAATTATTGGTGTTGTTAAACACACAGTAAAAAATGAAAACTATAATAAACATAATAGTTCTATATATTCCATTAAATTATTTAAAAATATACTTAAAAAAATTTTTCAAATTTTGAAAAAGGGCAACATAACTTTAATTTAACTGCAATAAAAAAAATTTTTAAAAAATGCGCGCTTTTAAAAAAAGCAATGTTTTATCATGTTTTCTTTAAAAGTAATTGCAAATGCATTCATGTTAATTAAAATTTTACATGCTTTTGTAAATGCATGTAAAAACCATGCTAAAACATAATTAGTTTCTTCAGTTGTGTACTTAATTGTTAAACTTAAAAGTAAGACTATTGAAGAAAGTATTAACATTGTTTCTTTTAAAGTTGTTGAAAATGTGTTTTAAATTTTAGCAACTTATTGTTCGTTTTTTTTATAATAAATAAAAAACTATCAATTGCATAAATATTTGGAAAAAAAATTACTAAAGTTATACGTTTATTTTTTAAAATTTTAGGCGAATGCTTAAGTAAAAGTAAGGAAATGTGATGTTTTTAACAAACGTTCGCACATTCGTGGATTTGTCGCACCCTGTATATGTATATAGTTTTTTGATATTTGTATAAATTTTTTTCATACTTTTTTTACTGTTCTCAGTAATATATCACTATGCTTTTTAGACGTTTGATGGATCAGATATTGCTGATATGTTGTGCTCATTAATATCAAAAACTGAGGTTGATGGAGTTAAAAAATCTCCTCTTGTCCACAGTTATACACCTAGGGTTATAAGTGAAAAAAATTTAGAGGATTATCACCAATATATGACCACAGGCCAAGTTAGAGATGGCCTTGAGCATACTATTAGGTATGAAATGTGGGGCCATGCATTTATGTTGGCAACATCATTAGGTGGACGCTATTTACAACTTGTTCAGTCAAGATTTATGGATAGTTTAAAGCCAAGTGATCCTTTAAAAACATTGTACTCTTACCTGAGTGGGCGAGATGTTGAGTATTTTAAGGTTAGCCAGTCTACTTGGTTTTTTTGCTTTTTGTTTAACTTTGATTGGTATATCTCAAAAAAGTTTTTCTTTATAAAAGAGTTTAAGGTTCTAATTAATGTTTTAAAAATTCTCATTTACTGTTAAGTATTATTATATGTCTTTTTGTTTTGTGTTTAAATGTTTGATGTATAAGTATATTATAAATGTCTAATGGGATTAATTAAAAGAAAAATGAGTTTACAAAATTTATTTATTTATATAACTAAATTATTTAGAAACAAGCAGCAGTTGAAACATGGATTCAAAATTTATGCATTCTTGCTTCAAATACATCCGGTAACAAACAAAAAGATAGAGAAAGGCTGATAGCTTTTGGAGATGGCCTAAGTAAGTATATGCTAATTTCTAGAATGTAAGTATATGCTAATTACTAAAAACCTAAGTAAGTATATGCTAATTTCTAGAATGAAGAAGTTTATCTTTTATTAGGCTTATGATACATAATTGGTCTTTTTTACAGAGGTGGAAAGTAACAAATTACAATTACTTGCGTTACTGTAATTGAGTAGTTATTTTGAGAATTTCTACTTTTTGAGTATTTTTTTAAATGTGTACTCTTACTTTTACTTAAGTACTTTTTTTCTAAAGTATTTTACTTCGCTACATTTGAAATCATATGCGTTACTGAGTAAATTAAATTATTATGTATTATTTAATTTCACAAAGACTATGATTTTATTTTTTTGTTTTTTTGAGTTTTGCTCACTTTAATAAAAGTGACACTTTTAAATTGTTTAGAAAAAAATGTTGAGCGCGCTCATAACGAGTTTTAACTGCTTTAGCTTGGTTTCTTTTCACTTTTTACGATCTTAAAAAAACTTTCTGTGCAAAAAAAAATTTTTTTGCACATAAAAGAATAGAGTACGTGATTTTTGTTGACAGCTTTGTTACTGAAAAAGTAACACAGTAACTTTTACTCTGAGTACATTGTTAATAAGCTACTTTTTACTTTTACTTGAGTAAACTTTTCGACTGGTAACTTTTACTTGTACTTGAGTAAAATTTTACTCAAGCAACTTTTACTTGAGTACAATTTTTTTTTTTACTTTTTCCGCCTCTGCTTTTTTATCTGTATCAGTAGTTTGTGAAAATGTTTTAATTTTATTTTGTGTAAAGGAGACTTACATATGGTTGGTGCAGCACATTTATGCTACTTGCTTGCTAAACTTCCTTTTGGCCTTCACACATCAAATGATTCTAAAATTGTATTGATAGGTTTAGAACACAGGTTTAGAAAAATGATTTTTATATTTTTTAAATATTTTTTTGTTTTGCATTAAATTGTTAATATGTTGGTGAGATAAATGATTTAAGTTTAATCTACTTGTTAGGTTGCATACCACAAAACAAGCAAGTGTTTGGGCACAACCTTTAAATATACAATTGACTGAGGTTAAAAATTATTGTATGTTCTAAATATATATATATATATATATATATATATATATATATATATATATATATATATATATATATATATATATATATATATATATATATATATATATATTTATATTATATATTATATATATATTATATATAAATATTACATATATATATATATATATGTATATATATATATATATATATATATATATATATATATATATATATATATATATTTTATATTTATATTATATATTATATATATATATATATATATATATATATATATATTATATATGTATATATATATTATATATATATATTATATATATGTATATATATATTATATATATATTATATATATATATATTATATATTACATATATATTATATATATATATATATAATATATATTACATATATATATATATATATATATATATATATATATATATATATATATATATATATATGTATGTATATATGTATATATATATATATATATATATGTATATATATATGTATATATATATATATATATATATATATATATATATATATATATATATATATATATATATATATATATATATATATATAGAGAGAGAGAGAGAGAGAGAGAGAGAGAGAGAGAGAGAGTATCTTAAAGGATTGCAGATGATATACAAGAACATCTATTTTAAAGATACTTGATAAATTTATAAAATTCTAGATAAAAAAAATTTGATTTGTTTGATGATCAACTAACTCTTTCCCTCTCCTCCTGCATTAATAAAAACAATTTTGAAATGAATGATATTGTTTTATATATGATGTATGAAATAGTAAGGTTTATGAAAATATTAAAAAAATAGTTAATATTTAATTATCATTGTTGTTTTTGTTTATTTAGCTTTATCAATTTGCTCTTACTTTGAATGATTTAACTTTCACAATACCTGCTTTTCAAGTAATTTTTTATGTTTGTTTTGATGTTTATTTATGTTGATTTAGTATTTTCACTTAAATTTTTGCGCATCTACAATGTATAGCATATATAACAAAGCTTAAAAGAAAAGTAATTAGTGATAACAGTGGTATTCAATTATTATTGCTATAAGAATACAACAAAATGCTTATTTTTGATAGGAATACAACTTTTCTTGGCACTTAGTCATTGGTTTGAAGTTCTTTCATTTGTTGTATGATTTTAATGAATAAAAACATAATAAAAAATAACTAAAACAACCTGATCTAACGTATTATATAATTATATAGTATATAACGTACTAACGTATTATATAATTATATAGTATATAAGTATTGAATTAAAAAAAAATTAATTAAAAATTAATCAGCATTCAACTTTAGTGGAGTTTTTTTTAATGTCATGGCAAATCATTTAAGATACTATAAAAAATTATTTTCAATAAGAAAATTTATTCAAATAGTTAAAAAATTATACATTTATTTCAAATAATTAGACTGTCTTTTTGAATAAAAAGACCATAAAATTAATGAGCTAGAAAAAATGATAAAAAGTTAACTAAATAAAACATAAGAAAAAAAGTATCAATTAAATTTGAGCACCCAAATAAATGATTTTCCACTAATTGCTACCCTGATTAATAAATCCACAAATTGCTCCCCTGATTAAACATTTTTAAATTCATCAAGTTGGGCACGACATTTAGTAATGAAAAGTTTTGTTATTGATAATCAATTCTTGGCAAAGTAAAAGATTTAATTATTAGTAATATTAAATTTTAGATTTTTCAATATATGAAGTATTTAACTGCTTCAAATGTACTCAAAATTGTTTTGCTTGAAACAAAAAAGCAAATATTAAATGATGTCCAACTTACATAGAAATTTGGCCTTTTTTTTTTTTAAACATTAATGTTCAGGGATGTTAGAAAACAATATAAAACTACCCTTTACAACTTAAAAATAGTTTTGAACTTCAAAAAAAAAATTTATATATGTTTATACATAAATATATATATTTAAATATAAATATATGCATATATAAATTACCAGATAACTATGACACCATGCTGATCGGGCTCAGATTTTCTGACAGATAATCCTTAAGACTAAAATAATTTGTTGGTGTAAAAATCTAAACACGATTGGCTTGTCGTAGATATGGGCCATTGTAAATTGTATTTATAATTGCTAAAAAAATAAATGCATAAGAGAAAAACATGAAATATGAATGTTTTTATCGTGAATCGAGAGTACACGCGAAAAGGTTAAAAAATGATAAGTATAACACTTGTTTTTGTGTACAGCATATGCAAGCTGGCAATGGCTTAAATGTTATTTGAGAATGTATTTCCTATAAATGCTTTTTTATATATTGCTTTCCTATATAAATGCCCAAAAAGATTGACCTGCTGATTGATTTTTTAATTTAAATTAATTAGGAGTTTTGCTAATAAACAAACAAAAAAAATAACGCCTCTAATAGTTTTTTTTTTTAATTTCTCACAATATATATTCATGTGTGTGTGTGTGTGTGTGTGTATATATATATATATATATATATATATATATATATATATATATATATATATATATATATATATATATATATATATATATATATATATATATATATATATATACACTTATATATATATATATATATATATATATATATATATATATACTTTTACTTTTAGAATTACAAATTTGAATATGCTCTTCAACTCATGGAATATGGATATTGCACCGAGGTTATTTTTAAATTCTATGAAGAGCTAAAAGTGATCACATAAATGTATTTGTGTCTAAACTGTGCTTGGACTATTTGGTCAATGTTGATACAATAAAAAGCAAATGTGACAAAATGTAAAAATTAAATATAATTTGTCAAATTAAACTTTTTTAGGCTCTTGCTTACTTTGAATCGATTAGCTTAGCGATTTTAAAGGAACCATCAAATGAATATTATACACAACATTTAATAAAAAAGATAATTAAGGTAGTATTTATTTAGATGAGCTTCATGGCATAGTTTAAATTGTGAAAAGTTGCATTTGATTTTAAATTCTATAATTTTTTTTTAATATATTTTTATTAGTATGCTGAGCAAGCATTACTTAATGGTATCAAGTATTATGAAGATCGAGATGTACCTGATTGGCTTAATCAATTGCACGCATTAGAATTATCCATAGTAAACATTTAAAACTTCAATTTTCTTTTTCTTTTTTATTTTTTTATAAGAAGTCTTTAATTCTATTTTTTATGTTTAGTCTTCAACTTGCATTACATCTGTTTTTTCTGGAAATAATAATTTATCATTTGAACATAATAAAACTGGCAATGTTGATTCAAATCAAAATAAATCAAATCAAAATAAAACAAATGTTGAGTCTTTTATGTCTCAACACAGTCATTCAGAATCAGTGAGGTCATCTTCCACTAACGAGGACAGTCAATTAAATGTTAATGGAAGTGTTACAGAAACTGTTCAGTTTAATATGACAAATGGTTTGGACGCTATTAGCAATTTTAATGCAAATGATAATCCTTATTTTATACCTGACTCAAACGAAAATGTTTACAATTTTAATGCAGAAGAAAGAACACATTATGATGACAGACAGAATAATGCATACGAAGCAAGTGTATATTCAGAAGAAAGCTCTAATGAAAGGGCTTCAAACAGTCGAGAGGGATACTTCAATGAACAATCACTAAGTTATAGGGAAGGTTATCAATATGGATATCTTGAAAATGATCTTGCTGGTTACAATAACATGTGGCATAATAGCAATACGAACATGAACCAAGTAAATGACAATCATGATTACCAAGATTTCACACTTAGCGGTCAATCACTAGATACAGATATGCAGACAGACTCTATTACTGAAAAACAATCTGAGTTTCAAGGTATTTCTATAACTTTTTGTTTTTTAAGAATTTTTTCTTTTTTCTTTTAAAATAGTTGTTTATATTTGTTGTTTTGTTTCAGACTCCAAGTTTGAACCTGAGGAAGATTTGTTTAGTGAATTTTCAAAAAAAGTAAGGAATCATAGTTGATATTTCTTATTTCTTTTTCTTTTTTTCTTTTTTTTTTTTTCTTTTCTTTTAAAGGTTGTCATTGAACTTACAATAACTGAAAACTTTAAAAAATAAAAACTTTCTATTTTTTTTTAATTTTTTGTTTTTATACAAAAAGAAAAGCAACAATGCTGTTAATGATAATTTCAAACAAGGTAAGATAATTTTTTCAGCTTGAACATTTATAAAAGGGTTAACACTTAAAAAATGTTTTAATACATGGTTTTTATTTTAATCAAGTTACAAGACTACTACTTAGTCAACCCTCACCATTTGGCAATGCTGACCTAACTGCTGACCTTGTGTTTGAGGACGGCAAAAAATTGCCAACCTTGTTTTTATGTTTTATGGTTAGACTTTTGTATCAATTTTTTTTTGCCGACCTGATGCCTCTAAAAGACCTTTAAAAGATTGAGGTCGGCAAATTATTACTGACCTCATTTTTCCTAATTCTGAGGGTTGTACTTAGTTAAGTCTCTAGTTATTTAGCTCTGGAATTAAGAAGTTGTTTAAATATTCTTTAAACAAATACATAAATTTAATAAAAATAGATAGAAAGTTGATGAAATAAGTTCTTGGTTGAAAAAATACGCTCTTAAAATATCCTAATATATTTTTAGAAAAAAATGAATCTTCCAAGAAAACAACTAAACCTAAACAACCTGTTAACAATAAAAAGGTATATAACTTTTAGTAAACAAATAACAAAAGTTTTGTTTGTTATACTTTTTATATTTATATTATTATATATGTTTAATATACAGAAGTAAGCATACATACATAAATAACCTACGCATGAAGCAGACAAATTTGACATAAATCTACATAATGTATATATGCATTCTAGGTCAACAAGAAACTAATATTTCCTGTCCTGATTTTTAAATTGATGTTTCTGATAAAAATACAAAATATAACTCAGTACAACAGATCTTTTTTCATTTATAAGTACTATCAGCTAATGTTCTAGAAAATCTTTTTATGCATATATACTTGTTCCTGTCTATATTTCTATATTTCAAACAAAATAATAACACTAAATTTTTGATTAAATTATTAAGTTAAAGTTTTTTGACATCTTTAATCTCTGTTAAAACATCTATGACCATGTTTAACCGCAAGCACACCCTAATGTCACAAGCACACCCTCACTAAAGTTAGATTTATGCATAAGCACAACCAGTTGCTAAATTTCTATCTATGCATTAAAAGATATCGATCATTTCCCATTTTAAAAAAAAACTATTGTTTAAGTTAATTTGTCTGAAGAATTTAAATGGTTTTATCAAAATATTTGCCTGTTCTTTATTATATTTTTGAGTTTATTTAAAAAATAGGGGTGGCTTGGTAGTATTATTTCAAAATTTACTCCTGCAAAAGAAATTCATTTACCTGATGACAAGGACAATTCTGTAAGTAACTTATTAGTTGTTTTATTTTTATCAAGTATTTAAAGGTGAATTCTATGGCAAGTCTTGTTAAAAAATAAACAAATTATTTCAGTGCAGGTTTTTTTCAGCTAGCAAGCTTAAGGTTGACAAATGATTCAATTACTGTACTTTACCAAAAATCTAAAAAATATCACCTATTTTCTTTGAATGATGATGCTGATGGTTTCAAAAAATTAAAATTAGTAACTTTAAAAAAAAAAGATATTTAATACTAATTCTAATATTAATATTTTGATATTAATTTTAATAAGATGCTTATTGTGATAAGATTCTTACTTAGCCTTACTTAGTTTCTTTGTTGTCTAATTTAAAAAATAATTAACACCACCTGGCAGAAAATAATTAACACCACCTGCCAGAAAATGCTGCCAAGTAACACCACAACTTAACAACAATGTTTGACTGGCAGGGATAACAATCTTGCTCTACACATGCATAAAATCGAATAAAAAAGAAAAAGAATAAAAGTATGTAAATAATAAAATAAAAAAATAAAAGAAGACAAACAAAGAAAGAAAACTAATATATTATATAAAAATAATTAAACTATATTTGTAAAATAAGTAAGTTTCTTTGTTGTATTGTGTTATTATTTGTTGTTATTATTCATTTCTTGTTTCTTTCTCTTTTTTTTTTTTTTGCATTCGGTTGTGTCGTAACGTTGTAATTTTTGTTTTGTTTTGTTTAGTTTGTGTATATATATCGTATATATTATACAAAATATTGTATTATACAAAATGATACTTATTTTTATACTATTTTATTATGTTATATGTTTTCAATTTTTTTCTCTTTTTCACACTTTCTTTTATTTCAATATTGTTCATTCATTATAAACATTTTATACTTTTTGTTGCTTTTTTTGTGTTGTGTTACATATTTTTTGTATCTAATGTTAAGGTTTTAAAACGGTCATAATATTATTGCTTGATTTTAATCGTTATTATAATTGTATTTGTTATTTTTATTATTATTTTTATTATTAATAATAGTTATTTATTATTAATTATAAATAATAAAATATTATTACTTATTATTATTTTCTATTATATTACTGTTATTGCTATGTAAACTCAATCATTATTGTTTTATATTGTGTTATTACATATTATTGTCGCATTATTTTAACTGTATTATATTAAGATTATTAGGTGTATTTTATATTTTCATCATTTTTTTTTTTTTAGTTTATTTATGTTTTGTATTATTTAATAATATTGTTGTTGCTGATTTTATTTTTTGTTGATTTTATTTAGGTGTCACTCCTTTGACTAGTTTTTAACTATATGAGTGACATCTAACCTGATTTGTAAATTATAATTAAATTTGTAATTTTTAAAATTTGGTTAAATAAATGAATGAATTGAACTAATACCACTTTTATAGTATTGAAAAAACATATAAACTTTGAATACATTATATTTTAATAAAATATAATGAATTCAAAGTTTATATTATGTTTTTAAAATTTTTAAGTGGTATTACTTAGCAGTGTGTAAAATTGTATATAAAAAATTTAGAGTTTTGCAGTTAGAGTTTTGGCTCAGAACCCAGAGGTCTAAGGTTCGACGCCGGCTCTAGCTGTATAAGTAACATTGGTAAGGAAGGAGGCCTGAACATCTAGTTAAATGCTCTTCCGCGGTGTTCGGTGATAAGGACTTCTGGGAGCACCTAAATTACCTAAAGACAAAAGTTATTGTTATTGAATATGCCAATCTGTAAGGTAACTGATGAAGTTTCAGAGCCAAATGTAAATTAGAATTTTGATGGAGAATTATTTTAAAGATCACAAACTTTTATTTGAGTAGCATTGCATAGCCCTGCCTTAATATCTAAATATTTTAGCAAAAATCATACAACTTAGCCTAAATAGCCCTGCCTTAATATCTAAATATTTTAGCAAAAATCATACAACCAGTTTTAAGAAGTGAAAAGGCATACCTGACGGAGTTGAGCTAAAACACGTTTAAAAAAAATCAAGTACAATTTCTTTAGAATATATAAACCTCTACAATTTCCTTCAATTAGTTTAACCACTGGTTCATCGTTAAGGTTGATTCTGGTAACATTTTATATTTTATTATTTATTATTTATTTTTATATTTTTTAATTAAGTGTTAAAAATTTAAAAAAATAAACTAATTTTAAACCTAAATAAAAATTTGTAAAAATTATTAATAATTAATAAATTTAAAGTTGATTTATTTATTCACATATTTTTTAATTGAAACGTAATATCCTGTATTATATATTCTATAAGAAAATATACATATAGATACAGAGAAATAAAGATTGCACTGAAATTTATACACACATATATATACACTTAAGTGTCAACAAATAACATTTTATGTTATTTTAATTAAAATTTAATATCGATTTTAGTTATTCGTGTTATATACATAAAAAGAATTCCAATTTAAAATAAAACGCAATAGTTAACTTACTTAAATTAGAATCAGTTTGTCTGTCTAAAAAAAAATATTATCAATAATCCTAAATTTAAAAAAAAAAGTGAGTTACTTAAAAGCTCTTCAATTCAAAAAAATAAAAATAAAAATCTTAAACAACCGAAAATGTACTTAAAAAAAAAATTATTATTATTTATTTTTTATTAGTCATTTTCAACTTCTTTTTTAACAAATTTTCAAAGTAAATTAGAAAATAAATATTAAACAAACGTTTATTAATTAAACTACTAAAACTAATCCTAAAATTAATCAAAGAACAACAACAGCTCTCCTTGAAAGCTAAGAAAAATGTATCAGTTCTAATTTGCTTGCAGACCTTGCTTAAAAGACTGCGTGAGCTTTAAGAAATGGGTCTAGAAAAGCCTAGAAAACTACTTTAAAATAATGTAAAACAACATTAACTGTATTATTAACCCTTTTGTGATGAATGACCCGCTCTGCGATTCATAAAATGTGTTTCTAAATGACGAGTAACCTGTATAGAGGTTCATCAACATTTTTATATTCCAAACATCTATAGCAATCGGGGAAAACTTTAAATATATCTCTGAAATAGTAATAATTTCATAAGTTGATGCTTCATACTGTTTGATATTTACATTTATAGATTGCTCAAGATTCAAAATTTAGCTATTTTGAAAAATAGCTAAAAATCGATTAAATTAAACTGATATAAATGAGATCCTTGAAAAGTTTTTTTATGAAGGTTGGAGATTTTTTTTGTGTAATCACCACTATAAATACCATTCTTATTTAATATCAAAAAAGATATGTTTATGTATTTCTACTTTATTTATTTAAGGTTACATAAAGAAACTATATTTTTTTTGTTTTTTTCAAGATGGCATATTTTTGATCACATAAACCAAGATAATAAAAAAAATTTAATATTCTGAAAGCCAGTTCTTTGACAAAAAAAAAACAAGGTCTTATTTGTAAAATTCTTACTTGTAGTTTTTATTTTATACCCTTTCAAATAACTCATTTTTTTAAGCGAAGTCATATTGCTGTTTTTAACTTAGTCCCGAGTTAATATTTAGATTATAACTTATGTTTATATAGGTGTTATGTTTATTTTGACATGGAAAGAACCACATAAGACTTGCGAGCCGCAGGTTGCCGACCTCTGGTATAAATGTTTAAATAATATAATGTAGACCATGTACTTACGTAAATCTTTTTTGTTTGCACAAATGATCAGCAACTTTGAGAAATATAATAGTTTTATGGCTAAACATCTCATGTGTGCCTATTTAGTTCTGTATGTGTCGAGTCTTTTTAAAGCGCAACACAGTTTTTAAAAAGTTGGAATATCAATAGCTTTATTAAAATATTGAAGGTTTTAGCGAGTATGTAACAGGACTGCAAACGCTGTCTTATTTTCCTTTTTTTAAGTAATTAAATTTATTAAAAAAATAAATCCCCCTTGTCAGCCATTGTCAAAAAAAATTATGTTATAAATAAAAGTACTGAAATAAAAATGTTCAAATTTGATATCAAGTTAAAAAATGATAAAAAATTTTTGTACCTTATTTATCTTGATAAAGTTTACATGCTAATTTTTTTTTTCCTTGTTTAAGTTACATTCTCAATGAATTATTTTTTTTCGCTCAGATTTATTATGATGAAACTTTGAAGCGTTGGGTAGATAAGAATGAAAATCCTGCAGAAGCACGAAAAGCGTTACCGCCGCCTCCAACAAGTTTTAGCACACTTTCTACTACTGCTGCTGCTGTTCTACCTCCCACAGCACCAACTGTAGTCTCTGATTCTAAAACATTACCTTCTAATGGCTTGCCGCGTCGATCTTCCTTATCTAAGCGACATAGTGTGACTAAAGTTAAACCAGAGGATAATAGTAATTTATCTGAAAAAAACAATGCTGTTAAAGAGTCAGCTGTCTCAGCAGAATCAGAAAAAAAAGTCGGTCCACCAAGTAAATTTTCAATGCGAGCTCAAGGAGGTAATGCAAAACGTGGTCTTCGTTATGTGAATGCAATGGGAAATAATGCATCAACAACAGCACCTACTACTGTTCTAGATCCTTTTATATCAGCAGGTTTTTAATTTGTTTTTTTAGTTACTTAAGTTTTATTTATAATATATATATATATATATATATATATATATATATATATATATATATATATATATATATATATATATTATATATATATATATTGGTATAATAGCAAATAAAGCATGCAAGTTGTTTTCATTTTTAGGTACTAATAGTTCGAATAAACAGGGCAATCAAAATAATAAGGTATAATCTGTAACATGTTTACTGTATTTGATATAGTTATTAACAAAAAAAAAAGGATTTATTACTTATGCTTTTTCCTTTTAGCCAATGTATTTTGACCCATCACAAGCGTCATCCTAGATGATCAGCTATTCAATATTTTCAGAGTTTATATTTTTTGTTCGCTCTTGTAGATTTTTGGTTAACTAAATTTTGTAAAAATATGGAATTCTTAACAGATAATATTAAATTTTATTTATAGAAATTAAAAAAAAAAAATTCGTTGTTTTTTTTTTGCTGTTAAAGTTTTTGTTGTTTTATTATTGTTACTTTTTGTTTACTTTTTACTTAGCTTATCTAAGTTTAGTTTAAGCCATTTAGTTTACACCAGCGCACTGGTAAAACTCTGCAGCTTTGATTAACGGCGTAAATTTTTGGCAAAATGTTCTGGCTTCCGCCTCCAGCGGTTACCGCCGCCGGAGTTTTTGGCGGCCGCAGCCAGAGTATTTTTTTTGAGGGAAAATGTTTTGGAAAACCGATACCAATAGGGAGGCGGAAGAAAAAAAATACCGTATGGGAGGGGGGGGGGGGAGTACACATAAAACCTAACTAAAATCTTTTTATCAGCATCAAAAACACGCAGCTTGCATAACAAAATTTGAAAAACGCTTTTCGAAGGAAGCACTTTTGCTATTTTTTGCCAAGGAAAGTATGGGAAAGATCCTTGTTTAATCAAGGTTTTAAAGATATTGTAAAGAATGTCTTTGAAGACGACATAAAAACAACATTTCCATTTAAGTAGTCAGGCTCTATTGACTTATTACTTTTTAACGATCTAAAAGTATGTCAAATTCTTCAAGCGTTAGGTTTGTAAAACGCAAAGAATTTGATGCTTTAAGATTTTTTTGTTTAATAAAAAGTGGCATGAAAAAAAAATTAATAAGTTCACTTTTAATTAAACTTATTTTTAACTTTTATTGCAGGTGGTGGGGAGGTTGAAGTCATTTTTTTCTTTCCTATCGTTTCTTTTACGATTTCCTATACGCGTTTTAAGTTATGTTTGTGCTACGTAGGCAATTTAAATTGTTTCTTGTTTTAGTATGTTTACGGAGTTTCTCTAACAGATTTTTATAGTTTAGTAATTTTGTTTAGGTTTCTCGGATTTTGTTTTTAAGTATTTAACATACAAGGATTTCTCAGTTATGCGAGAATCATGTCTTTTGCCTGGAGAATTGTTTGACACATAAAATTAGCGTCAGATTTTTAAGAAAGTTTTTAAAGAGGTATTATAGATAATGTTTATGTTATCATTGAAGTTAATTTGATTTTAATCATCGTGTAAAAATTAATTTTTGAATGATTTCCACTTGCATTTGTTGAAAATTTGCTTTTTTTATTGTCACTCTGTCCTGCTTTTTTATTTGATAATTTAATTATATAGAGAAAAATATGGGAAAATAATCAGGAACATCACTTTTTATGTTAATTTTCCTTTAATTTTTTTTAAATATGTTAATTGTATATATAGAGTAAAAGTACCGCAAACCGGACACTCTTCATAAAAAAATAAATAACTATTTTAATTTTAAGAATTAGTAGGATTTTTTTTTCTGGAATATAGTTGTTTATTAAAGCAATTCAGCAATGTAAAATAAATAAAAAATTAATTTCAAGTTTCTACGGATAATAAGATTTTATTTTTTTTTTAAAGTGTCCGCTTTTCGGAAAATTGTCCCTAAAAGCGGACAGTTCCAAATTAAATGAAAAAAACATAGATAAATTGATAAATTCAATATTTTTTTTTTATTGTTAAACTGATAATAATACAAGCAGAAAAAAAACAAATAAAAAAATATATGCAAGCTTGAGCCTGAAATAAAAAGGAAAAATTTATAACTTAGGTTCTGCAATCTGTCGTGCAAAAGAATTTTTTGCTTTTTATATATATTTTTTGGGAGACAAGGTTCACATAGCCACGAACTGCAACTTGATTTTTCCATAAAACTTGCATATCTGGCTTTTCATTTTCGAAAAACTTTGGGCAGGTTTTGCACTTTTTGTACTTTTTTTTGGCAGGAGTTTCTACTTCTGCTGCTGCAAAATCAACATGTTTTATTAGCTTCGCGTCTTCTTCTTTTAACTTATTTAACCATGCTTCTTCTGTAAAAGGTTGACCAGCCACTGTTTTAACATTTCTGGCTTTTTTTGCAGGATGTTTGTAGGCGTTTTGGAATTGAAATTGCGTTAAGACAGCTCTTTTAAGACTGATTTTTACACGAGTCACCAATTCTTCTTGAGAAGTTAAATTTAAAGTTGAAATTGAAGTTGGAGTTGCTGGCGGAATTAAATTGATTTTGGGATGCGGTGAATTGAGCTGCGCCTCTTAAGCTTAATTCGCCGTTTTCAATCTTATTCAATGCGTTTTTAATAGTCTCCTGAGTGTAAGGCCTCTCGTTTGTTTTATTTTTTGCCATTTTTAAGTTTAATAAATTCAATTCAGTTACAGATTTTTCAAATTGAAGAAACGATGCACTTTTGTGGTTACTTTGTGTACTTTTGCACTCTAATTTTAACAGAATAAGTACAAAAGGACAAAATTAATTAACACAAAAGTGAAAACTTAAAAAAACCAAATGAAATAAATTCAGTCAATGTGAAAAAATAATAAAATAAATTAACTTTACCATAATAAAAAAATTCAGTTAATGTGAAAAAAATAATAAACATAACCTATTAAATTTTAATTAATTATAAGGTGGATTTATTGTGTCCGGTTTAAGGTGAAAACTGAAGAAAATCTTATTTCCGTCATATCTTTTTAACGGAGTAAGATTATGAAGTTCTAAAACTATTTTTGAAATTAGCAGAAAAATTTCCAACAAAATAGCTTCCTTTGTTTTTAAATTGACTTTTTAAATCTTTCATGCTTAGAACCTAATTTCCAAAAAAAAGTTTGATTTTTAGGGTTAGATTTTGTTTGAACTTAAATATCTTATTAAGCTAATCATCTGAATAATTTTTTTTTGAAATTCTATAACTTCCTATACACTAAAAATTAAAAACTTTTTTAAATTTTGCAAATATCTTTATTTTTAGTGAAGATGGTTAGTTTTTTCGATAAGTGTCCGCTTTTGCGGACTGTCCAGTTTGTGGTACTTTTACTATCTACTTTATTACTATCTACTTTAATAATAAAAAATTACATGGTGTTCGATTATATGTTATTCTTATTATTTTTGTAGCGATATTTCAGCAAATATAGTATAAGAAGCGTCAGAAGCTAGAGATCCGTGGTTCAACGCCACCTCGTAGCAAGTTTAATAATGTTGGTAAGGAAGAAATCGTGAACTTCCTTTCAAATGCTCTTCCGCGGTGCTCTGCGATAAGACTGTAAGGACTTCTATATTTTATATTTATATATATATATATAAATATATATATATATATATATATATATATATATATATATATATATATATATATATATATATATATATATATATATATATATATATATATATATATATATATATATATATATATATATATATATATATATATATATATATATATATATATATATATATATATATATATATATATATATATATATATATATATATATATATATATATATATATATATATATATAATTGGAATCAGAACAAAAATATTAAAGGAATAAAAATTTAAAAAAAACGCAAAAAAGCGAGAGAACAAACGGGTGAGATACAAGTAATAAAAAAAAATGCAAGTTAGCGAGCGACATACATGAGCGAGAAAATACAAATTTAAATGACATTAGTTGAGAAGGATACAGTGAGAGAAAACAATTTCTGTAGACAAAAAGCATCTGCGTCTTCTCGTATCCTCTCGGAAGTTCGGCTTGACACGATAGAAAATTATAATTTTTGTTTCGTGTCGTTTTTACAAAACCACAAATAATCATATCGTTTTGTATCGTATTTTTACGAAACAAGTAAAGCTTGTTTCGTACCGTATTTTTACGAAACAAAAAAACTTTGTTTCGTTTCGTATAGATTTTTACGGAACGTATCATAATTCCCCTGCCCCAAACAAATATCTTACGATTCCCACACCCCGAGCAATACATGAACTTTAACATTCAAGCAGAGTAAATGCGCGTTTAATACTTACTAACTTAATATTTCGTTAACGAAAGCTTAACTAAAAAGTTTAACCTTATTTTGTTTCGTACCGGTTTTTACAAAACACGAAATTATTGTTTCGATCTGTACCGTATTTTTCACGAAACAAGAAAATTTTGTTTCGTTTTGTACCATTTTTATTTTTTTTTTTGCGAAATTGTATAAACATTGTTTCGTTTCGTACTGGTTTTATCAAAATAATATTTTTTATCGTTTCGTCTCGTTTCGTCCTGTACTGTTTTGAGACACAGATGCTAAGTAGACAAAAATAAAATTAAAAGGCAAACTACCCGAGAAAAAAAAACCCGCTAATCCTGTTAAGTTCCTAATAAGTTTCCTATTAAAACTTAGTAAGTTCCCGCCGAGTACTTACTAGGAACTTAGTAGGATTAGCAGGTTTTAGTAGGAAACTTAGTAGGATTAGCAGGTTTTAGTAGGAAACTTAGTAGGATTAGCAAGTTTTTAGTAGGAAACTTAGTTGGATTAGCAAGTTTTTAGAAGGAAACTTAGTAGTATTACTAGGGTTTTTACTCGGAACTTAGTAGGTACTTAACAGGATTAGTAGGGTTTTTTTTCTCGGTTAAGTACTACTTTCTAGTTTTAGTTAATAGTTTTTTTAGTTAAATTCATATGTTTATTAGGGTTTTATTTAATTATTTGAGTTTTAAAGATTTCATAGATATATTAGTAGGCTTATTTTTCAAGAAATATACGAGTTTAAATAAAAATAATAATTTTTACTTAAACACAGAATCTTCTTGAAAATATAATCCTTATAATATAACTTAACTAGTCGCTAAGCAATAAGGACGCTTATTTATAAAACAATAATAAAAATAACAAATAATTAAGTGATAGATTGTTTAACTAGATAATTTAAAAAAATACAATAAACAGCGATGGTCAGTTCTTTTGGTAATTTCGCAGGTGTCAGAGGAATAATTGCACCCATAAGATTTTTCTTAATCTTTTACGACCATAACTGTAGCTATAACGTAATTTATAAAAATATTAATGTAATTCAACAACATAATAACATATATTTTATAACAAAAAAGCATATTTAACTTACCATAAATTTAGAACGATGAAAAAACTTTCATTATCATTGTTTCAAAGCTATTATAATCTAAAATTTCAAAATAAAAGTGTATGAAAATATGAAACTAAGTTAAATTAAAAAAAATTACATAAGCCTCGTGTGTGTATATATATATATATATACATATATGTATATAAATATATATACACATATATGTATATGTATATATATATATATATATATATATATATATATATATATATATATATATATATATATATATATATATATATATATATATATATATTTAGTGCATATATATATATATTACTAAAAACTTGAGTAACTAGCATTATATAACTATATACAGTAGTAATTAATCAAAATATTATAAAATTAAATTATGGAAATTTTAAATTAATTTATATAATGGCATTTATAACAAAAATCTTAATGTTAAGTAAATAAAAATTATAATACAAAATATAACAACATTCAATAATTTTATAGTTTGTTTAACATGTTAAAAAGAAATGTTAAATCTTGTTAACAAGAGATAACAATAAAAATATATTTACCAGTAAAAAATGTTTATATATATTTTATGAGAGAGTGATTTCAATATTGATCAATTTTTAATGTCAAATGGTTTACTCCCTTTTAGTCTGATTAAAACTTTTAGTCAAGCTTGAAGTGAGTGGTTTTTTGACATAAAAATTTGACTTTTTAAATAAAACTACAAATAAAATTTCTAAGGAAATTAAAAATAAAAGTCTTTCTTTATACTAAAACAAAGTGACAAATCTTTATTAATAAAGATAAGTCACTTATTCTTTTTAGTAAAAAGAAATAGTAAAAAGAAAGAGTGACAATATAATTGTTTATGATTTATGATTTTATGTTTATTAAAAAATAAAATATAATTTAAAAAACACATCACCATATATATCACTATGAATCAGAAAATACTCGAATTGATACAACAGAAAATGCTCGAGTTAAAATTAACATTTAAAACCACATTATAACACATTAACAAATATTCATCAAATAAACTGCAAACCACGCAATCATCCCCAGATGTTCTTGAGTTTTTTCTTTAAAGAATTACAAATATTAATTAGTAAAACTATTGAATCTAAAAAAGCTGTTTTATGGCTGACTTGTCTTCCGTGTGAATAAATAAAAGATGGCGTATAACAAAGACGATTTTTTATACTTGTTTTATTTTTGAAAACTTACTAGGAACTTACTAAGTAATTCGTTTAATCCTGATAAGTACTTAGTAGGAACTTACTAGGATTAGCAGGAAATTCATAAACGTCATTTCACTAATGGGAAACTTAATAGGTTTAGCCGTATTAAGCGAAAACTTACCAGGATTAGCCGTATTAGCAGGAACTTAACAGGATTAGCAGGAAGTTAAACATATTCCTAGTAGTATTAGCGGGTTTTTTTTTCTCGGGTAAAATAAAAAAAAATACAATGTTACAAACAATATTACACCCTAAATACAATATATAATCTTATATTATACGTTACATATATTATTTAAACAAAAGTAAATATCAAGATATAAAAAAAACAACAACAACTAAATCAACAAAAAAAAAAAAAAAAAGCAAAAATATAAATACATTTAACATTATTTATATACATAAATACGACATATAAACTAACATATATAAAATTAATTAAAATAGTTCTTTTCCTTTTCTTTCCATAAAATATTGATGGTAGAAAAAATTTTAGTTCTTTTTTATTATTTTCCATTTTCGAAGCTTATTTTCTTTTATGTTTTATTTTATTTTATTTTATTTTTTCTTACTTTATTTTTTTATTTGTTAAATCCTTTATTCTTGTTTTTACACTTATTCTTTTAAACTTTTATTATTAAAATATTTTTTTATTTTTTTTCTTTAGTTGATATTTATTTTATTACCACGTTTTTATTAGCTCGCTATCTTGTTTGTTTGTTTGTCCAGGTGGAATTTCGCAACTCAATTTTAACCCACTTTTCGATTAGCTAGAGCTCTGAAACTTTTACTATAGCTCAGAACCCGATGACAATGCAATATTATACTACTTTTACCATGAATTGCCAAGTTTCTTGAACAATTTCAGCAAAATAAAGTTTATTATGGCGAAACTTTTGGAGGCGTCGCCGCAATTTGACGCGTTTAAATAAAAAATTTTCGAACAAAAAAACCAAATTTAACTGTCGCTGTGATTTTAAATGGACCGCAGCATAAAAACAAAATCAGTTGTTTACAAAATATAAAATTCCACCCATCAAAAACTAAAAAGAAGAAAATAATATAACAAATAAAAAAACTTTTTATAAAACCACGTTTTTGTTATGAACTAAAAAGTAGAAAATAATTTTCTTTGAGGCTATAGAAATTTTTGAAAATTAATTGAGTCGATAGTAAGTGACATGAAAACTTTTTATTATGAACTCTTAATAATTACGATAATATTTGTAAAATTTTAAACGAAAAACGTGGTGCGCATTTAACGAAAAAAAAGAACAGAAGAAGGAAGCAATAGTTAAAGTAATTAAGGACGATGATGATCATTTAAAGTAACAAGATGCGTACCGCGTTTTTCGTTTAAAACTTTACAAATATTATCATAATTATTAATCAAAATAATCAAAAGTTTTTATGTCACTTACTATCGAATCAATTAATTTTCAAAAATTTCTATAGCCACAAGAGAAAATTATTTTCTACTTTTTAGTTCATTACAAAAACGTGGTTTTATAAAAAGTTATTTTATTTGTTATATTTTTTCTTTAGTTGATATTTATTATTTTCTTATTATTATTGATATTTATTTTTTTCTTTTGTTGATATTTTTTTTTTTTACTATTCTCAACAAAAGTTATTCATTAATTCAATTATATAAATCATTAGCAGTTCCGACGTTAACCCACGGTCTAGAGCTCTGTGAAAATAAAGATGCAACAATGAAAAGACTCGACACATTTGAAAGGAACGCAGTTAAATCAATTTTTAATGTCTCCAAGTATAGTAAAAACTATATACACTCTCTGTTTAAAATTAAGGAGATGTCAAATTATATATGATATAAAAAAATTATGTGATAATCATAAACTGAATATGAAAACTTTAATGCTGGTTAAAAAAAAAGTAAAACTTAAAGTCTTAGAGGATACCCGAGAAAAAAAAACCCGCTAATACTACTAGGAATATGTTTAACTTCCTGCTAATCCTGTTAAGTTCCTGCTAATACGGCTAATCCTGGTAAGTTTTCGCTTAATACGGCTAAACCTATTAAGTTTCCCATTAGTGAAATGACGTTTATGAATTTCCTGCTAATCCTAGTAAGTTCCTACTAAGTACTTATCAGGATTAAACGAATTACTTAGTAAGTTCCTAGTAAGTTTTCAAAAATAAAACAAGTATAAAAAATCGTCTTTGTTATACGCCATCTTTTATTTATTCACACGGAAGACAAGTCAGCCATAAAACAGCTTTTTTAGATTCAATAGTTTTACTAATTAATATTTGTAATTCTTTAAAGAAAAAACTCAAGAACATCTGGGGATGATTGCGTGGTTTGCAGTTTATTTGATGAATATTTGTTAATGTGTTATAATGTGGTTTTAAATGTTAATTTTAACTCGAGCATTTTCTGTTGTATCAATTCGAGTATTTTCTGATTCATAGTGATATATATGGTGATGTGTTTTTTAAATTATATTTTATTTTTTAATAAACATAAAATCATAAATCATAAACAATTATATTGTCACTCTTTCTTTTTACTATTTCTTTTTACTAAAAAGAATAAGTGACTTATCTTTATTAATAAAGATTTGTCACTTTGTTTTAGTATAAAGAAAGACTTTTATTTTTAATTTCCTTAGAAATTTTATTTGTAGTTTTATTTAAAAAGTCAAATTTTTATGTCAAAAAACCACTCACTTCAAGCTTGACTAAAAGTTTTAGTCAGACTAAAAGGGAGTAAACCATTTGACATTAAAAATTGATCAATATTGAAATCACTCTCTCATAAAATATATATAAACATTTTTTACTGGTAAATATATTTTTATTGTTATCTCTTGTTAACAAGATTTAACATTTCTTTTTAACATGTTAAACAAACTATAAAATTATTGAATGTTGTTATATTTTGTATTATAATTTTTATTTACTTAACATTAAGATTTTTGTTATAAATGCCATTATATAAATTAATTTAAAATTTCCATAATTTAATTTTATAATATTTTGATTAATTACTACTGTATATAGTTATATAATGCTAGTTACTCAAGTTTTTAGTAATATATATATATATGCACTAAATATATATATATATATATATATATATATATATATATATATATATATATATATATATATATATATATATATATATATATATATATATATATATATATATATATATACATATACATATATGTGTATATATATTTATATACATATATGTATATATATATATATATATACACACACGAGGCTTATGTAATTTTTTTTAATTTAACTTAGTTTCATATTTTCATACACTTTTATTTTGAAATTTTAGATTATAATAGCTTTGAAACAATGATAATGAAAGTTTTTTCATCGTTCTAAATTTATGGTAAGTTAAATATGCTTTTTTGTTATAAAATATATGTTATTATGTTGTTGAATTACATTAATATTTTTATAAATTACGTTATAGCTACAGTTATGGTCGTAAAAGATTAAGAAAAATCTTATGGGTGCAATTATTCCTCTGACACCTGCGAAATTACCAAAAGAACTGACCATCGCTGTTTATTGTATTTTTTTAAATTATCTAGTTAAACAATCTATCACTTAATTATTTGTTATTTTTATTATTGTTTTATAAATAAGCGTCCTTATTGCTTAGCGACTAGTTAAGTTATATTATAAGGATTATATTTTCAAGAAGATTCTGTGTTTAAGTAAAAATTATTATTTTTATTTAAACTCGTATATTTCTTGAAAAATAAGCCTACTAATATATTTATGAAATCTTTAAAACTCAAATAATTAAATAAAACCCTAATAAACATATGAATTTAACTAAAAAAACTATTAACTAAAACTAGAAAGTAGTACTTAACCGAGAAAAAAAACCCTACTAATCCTGTTAAGTACCTATTAAGTTCCGAGTAAAAACCCTAGTAATACTACTAAGTTTCCTTCTAAAAACTTGCTAATCCAACTAAGTTTCCTACTAAAAACTTGCTAATCCTACTAAGTTTCCTACTAAAACCTGCTAATCCTACTAAGTTCCTAGTAAGTACTCGGCGGGAACTTACTAAGTTTTAATAGGAAACTTATTAGGAACTTAACAGGATTAGCGGGTTTTTTTTTCTCGGGTATAATTCCTGAAGCTACTCTTCATATTTTGGTACACGCGGTTCAATGTTGGAATGTAAAAGAACAGTGAACAAATTTTAAAAATACACTTGAAGAAAACGTTCCTAAATAATACTTTTTTTTATCTCTTTTTCTTAGTTTGTGTTTTTACCTTGTACATTTATTTTACAGAGGTTGATTAATAAAATATTAATAATAATTAATAAATTTTAAATTTTATAGTATAATGACACATGTGTCACACATATGCTAACCCAGGAAAATAAGTTCTATAAAGTTTTCTATAAACTTTCGAAACATATGGCCTATAGAAACTCTATAGAATTTCTATAGAATGTCTATTAATTTCTATAGAAATTGCTATAAAACTTTTTTTTCTATAAAAAAAAAAACTAGAAAAAAAATTCAATACGAATTTTTATAGAAGTTAACAGAAATTCTATAGAACTCTATAAAATTTCTATAGGCCATATGTTTCAAAAGTTTATATAAAGTTCTATAGAACTTTTTTTTCTGGGTATATATACACATATACACACATACATCCATACACATACACAAATACAAGCATATATATATATATATATATATATATATATACATATATATACACATACGCATATACACATATACATTTGCACAAACATATATATACATACATACACATACCTACATGCACATATTAACTCACATACATACACATATACACACACATATATACATATACGCATTCATATACCCACACATGCATACGCACATACACATTCAATCAATGTACAAGGATGGCAAAAAAGCTGTAGATAAATGTAAAGAATCTTAAAAAATAGTATAAAATAAAATAAAAAGAATATACAAGAGAGAGTATATTTAATAAGAATATTAACAGTGATATATTGCTTTTATTGATGTCCAAGGAAAAAAAGTTTTTTCCTGGGACATCAATAGTTTATAGAATTTCATATGTTTCAAAAGTTTATAGAATTTCTATAAACTTTTGAAACATATGGCCTATTGAAATTCTATAGAGTTCTATAGAATTTCTATAGAATCTCTGTTAATTTCTATAGAAGTTCCTATATAACTTTTTATCTTATTTTTTTTCAATAGAAAAAAAAAAGTTTTATAGCAATTTCTATAGAAATCGATAAACATTCTATAGAATTTCTATAGACATTCTATAAATTTTTATATGTTTCAAAAGTTCATAGCAGTTCTATAGAACTTTTTTTTCTGGGGTTATTATTCTATCCAAATAGTGTTTTTTTAATTTATTGAGAACAATTTTTTATTTGAAAAGAAAAGTTATTAAAGGATATTGGAAGTTTATTATGAAGATAATCCCATACAAATAAACAATTAAAAATTTTTTGATAACAGAAACATTGTCAAAAAGGTAGTTTTGAAAGTAAATAATTTTAACGGCTTTGTTTTGAAGTGAAACTAGTTGGTTTAAGGAACGTTTTTTTTTACCCAAATTATACACGCATACCTAAAGTGCGATCCAAATATGGCATTATAAATACACATAAGTGTTTCAAAATTTATCAAATGTCTGATCTTGGCTAACATTCCAATTGATCAACTTAGCTTAGTCTGTAAGTAAGTTTAGTGATACTTAAAAGAAAGACTCTCATTCAGCCGAACTCTAAGGTACTTTACAGTTTTTGACAAAGTTAATATTTTTCCATTTATGTTGAAAGTAAAGTTAAAAAAATGAGTACCCTCCTTGACTGTAGTGGCCCCCTCGGGCCTTGGGGAGTTGAATGATTTAAAAAAATAAAATAAAATAAAAAAGTGCATTGTTCCTTGTTTTTTTGGGTTTTAGTTTTAAAGAAAACTATTTTGGTTTTTGTAGCGTTTAGTGAAATTTAAGCCAATTATTCAAACAAATCTTCAACAATTAACAGGTTATTGTCATCGGCAAAATGTTATGTTAAAACATTATTAATGGAGGTGTTTAGCTCATTGATGTATACAAGGAAAAGCAGAGACCCAAATATTGACCCTTGAGGGACTTCCAAAATTATAGCTTTCGTTAATGAAGATGTTTTCTTAACTATAACGTATTGAAGTCTATTATCTTGTGATTTACTGTGTTAAATCTTAAAAATGTCAGAAAAAACTTTTTTTAAATGAGTTATTAACCATTTTAGAAATTGGTTCAGATATAATTTTTGATGATAGTTAAAAATTGAAGCCGAAGACTGTTAGGGTCTATGCTTTTCATATCATTTATCACGGAAATAATTGTTTCAAATTCTTCTTTTGTTACATGTGGAAGGAAAAATAAGTTAAAGTTTGGGATTTTAAGAAAATCGTTAAATTTATTAATTGAAGATTTAATTTTTTTGGAAATATTCACTGAGATATTTAAAAAACAATCATTAAATGAATTAGCAATATTTTATTATCGATAATTAAGTTGTTATTAATCATAAGTTTAATAGACTGCTTTTGTGTGAAAATATTAATTGTTTCTCTAATTCTCCTTACGATGTATTTTTCATATTGTGTAAATTGTTTCGGAAGAAAGTTGAATAAAAATTTTTTTTTACTTATTTTTATTACGTTACTGATTTTATTTCCGTATGTTTTAAATAATTTAAATGATGTTTCTTTAATTATAGTCGACAAATGATCGAGAAATTTTGTGTACAGTTTATCTTTTATTTTGATTGACTTCAAAATGCCTTTAGTTATCCATTATCCATTTTAGATTTAATTTGTCTTTTTGTAAGAGATTTCTATGGCGCATCTACATGAAGAATATTTTCAAAATTTTTCATGAATAATTTAACAGATTGATTAGGGTCGTCTTCTTCCTTTATTAATTGGGACAAAGGAATAATCTTAACATGATCTAGAAAAGCATCATTGTTGAACCTTTGATAACACCTTCTTTATATCTTTTCTTTTATATATTTGGAGTGAAAACTTGGGATTTGTACAAATTGTACTAAGTGATCTGAGATGAAAATTATTAGGTTACCTGATATAATGTTATTAGAATGAAAATTAATCAAAATGTTGTCGGTAAGAGTTTTTGAATTTAAATTGACTCACGTCAGGGCTGCCGAAAACTGTCAGACCATCTGGGACAGCAATCCTGATTGGCGCCCTTATTTATCAAATTCTTCCTATATTATATATAAAGGACCTTTTTTTTTTTTTAGGTACCTACATTTTATTTGGCGTCCCTTGGATATCTGCCGCCCGGGACAAGTTGTCCCTCGAAACCCCTCACCCTCTCAACGACACTGACTCTCGTTGGCAATGAAATGAACAATAATGTTCAAAAAAATCTCTTGTTCGTTTAACGTTTAAGGGGTTGTTTATATATTCATATAAACATTTCTATAATATAAACATATCTGTCGTTTATAAATATATATAAAAACTAATATAAAGTAAAAACCTCTTTGATGATTTTATAGACACATATAGTTATAATAATAATAATAATAATAATAATAATAATAATAATAATAATAATAATAATAATAAAAATAGCAATAAATTAACAATAACAACAATAATAAAAATAATTAATTGTATAATAATAATAATAATAATAATAATAATAATAGTAATAATATTACCATTAAGTATAATTAACACCCAGTAATAATGATTAAAATAAAAACATGGTAATAATATATACAATACATATATAACGGAATTATTAAATAAATATTTAATAGAAGGCTGTCCATTAATTACGTCAACAAAAATTATAAAAACCAGTAACTAAAAAAATTAAAATAAATCAATACAATCATTCATACACCAATCAATTATATAAGGGAGAGTACTCGTACTGAATGAACCACTAAAAATTAACTTTTTTTATAAAAACAATTTTTTTCTATATTTTTTTCTATATTAATTCTAAATTCAAGAATAATATCTTAACTAACAATCCTTAAAAGTTGTAAACCACTGCGCTAACAGAACATAGTTAAAATGGGCGATAAATGTGACCCGTACCAAATTGTTTAGTGGTCCATTCAGTACTATCCATTGTACTGAATGGACCAACCCTTGTACTGAATAAACCACAAAATAATTATTTTTTATAAAAAAGATCAATATCTATAACGTCAATAACTATAGCAGATATATTAATTCCGAAGATAAAATTAATATCTTAAATAACTATCCAAGTATATTGTATACTATATTGAAAGTTGTAAACCATTGCGCATAGCAAGTTACGTTATGCAAAGCAATTAAGGTGGTAAATGGAGTTTAAAAACAAGAAAGCAGCATGGTGAGACATTATTGATATTTCTAAATTAATACAACTTTAGACCAAACTCTTGATCAGATAGTCAAATTACAATAATCACAAAATATTGGCTGGCTTTATCTGCACTTTAAGTACCCAGTTTGCACATTCTCTGCAACGGTACCACACTTCGTTGTCACGACCCATTTCTTCACATATAGCACACAAATCATAATTTGATGTAA